AAGGGTTTTTCCCCGCTTAGCAACTGTACAGCTATACATCGAAGTAGCTAACGTTAGCTGAAAGTACACACTGTTAGCTTGTGTTTGTGTCAGCTCAGACTCTGATCTCAAATGACTCTAAACTTAATTCAAGTCCAGTGCTCTTTACATTCACTCTGAATACAGTTTATTTCAGCGAATTAATCCTAAACATGAAGACAAATCAAGAGGAGATCTCTGGCTTAAAGACTAACATTACAGGTAAAATAACTTCGTCTTTTTTAATGCCATTCTACTAGATAATCAATACAACTTCATTGGAAATGTGATGTATTTTGCCTATGCTAACAAACAGGGCACAAAGGCACTGTTTGTTAGCAAAGGCACCTATTCATTTGAAGGATGAAGATGGGTGAAAAAAAATCAAACTGCATTGTTCAGTCAAAGGTGTCCCACTCTCAGTTTCCCAAAATGCATTGCAAAAAATGCTGTTTTCTTTCCTCCAAGCAGTAATACTGTAAAATACCGTTATAAACAATTTCATTTTGCAGTAATATACTGCATTTAAAGATAACAGGATTAGACTGTTGAAATTTTCCCGTAATAAACAGCAATTTGTTACAGTGTATTTTCTTCTGCAGCACTGATGATTTAAACTTGAGGTAGAGTATTTCATGTGAAAGAAGACACTAATATCATGAGTATAGAGGGCTGGGTGTAACATAGTGCAAGCAGTGGCAATACAAGCCTCACGGGAGGCATTGGAGCAACCCATGAAATACCGGAGCAATTCAGTTGCCATCACGCCCGGGCTCATTGGTGCTCGAAAACAGGAAACATTCTGCTTTACTTTGGAGAGGTAGTTTGCTCTTTTCCTCTCTTGCTCCAGCTTGTTTGTGACTCTAAGATGTTTTGTGACTCCAGCTTCTAAAGTAGTTACTGTAGAGCCTCCAGGATGTACTGGAGAATACATTGCCAAAGCTTTGCAGCCCTGCGCAGTGCATGATAAGGTGGTAAGAGTCTGTTTCCATGAGCTGATGGCACTGCACTGCACTGCACTACTACCTGCTGAAATGCTGTAGACGTCTCTTCAGACCAGTGGCTTAGATACTCCAGACCTCCCCCCTGAGAGCGTTTTGCTGCTGCTTATTCCACTGCTTAAGAGGAGCAGAATAACATCAGGTTACACTCCACAAACCCAGGGCTTCTCATCTTTGTTGTCTGGAGGGCTGGATTCAAAACTATGCAGCAGTGTACATAAAAAAAAAACACTCTCTAATGCCAGGATTATTGTTCCAAGAGCCATAACAACCCATTACATGCTTCTAAAGTCTGTAATCACTCTTTGCTATCATCAATAATGATAATTTATTTAGAAGCAGTATTGTGTTCATGTGAATAAGTGCAGGCCCTTGTACTGCCAGCAACACTACAAGGTCTGGCCTGTAGGGCAGCACTGGCAGTGTTGCACCCTCAGGACTTTGGTGTTTTACAGGACAAAGTGTTTCTGATCTCAGCCTGAATTTGTGTACGCTTTAAACAGTAATTGGCTTACTGCAGCTCCGTTAAAGAGACCTTTGGCATGCCCACCTGTCACTATGCAAAAATCTCCTACAATGTCATTACCCCCCCTCCCCCCACTTGTGCTTGAGGAGAGCATGATTGGTTAAAACCAAGAAAAGAAGCGTAGTTGTCGCCAAAGCCCGCTCATTGATATGCTATAGTGTTACTCACAGAAGTCCCAAAGGAGCAAGGTAGAGTTTTTCGCTATTGTTGTAGGGCATACACGCACTTATACACAGTGGAGATGACAAATACACGGATTTACACAGAACAAAGCCACAAGAGTGAGAGAGTGTGAGAGAGGCAGTATTATGATACAGTCAAATTCAATCTCAAGGTGCCCTTGGAGACTCTGTTCACTTCACATTCTTCAAGACAGTTTAAGGAATTATGTTTTCTTTCGTGAGACCTGAACTCCTGATGTCACATTTTGACTATTTTACACCAGCTTCTGTACCTCAACACAATCTCACTGAGGGTTTTTTTTTTTTTTAGCCTTTTTATTAGTGGTGTGGCTTTAGGCATGGCATCTATTGTCCTGTGGGAAATGGTACTTGTTGGCTACTAGAAATAGAGATATTAAACTTACAATTTCTGCCTACTTAAAAAAGTCAACTATATGACATGCGCTCTCTCCTGACTTGGCTCGACCAATATTTGCTACAGAGATACAATACAGAGCTATTTCTATACAGATATACAAAGGCAGGAGACTCCCCTGGTATCTGATGTTTTTCCTCAGATTTTGTAAACTGACCCATCCTAAATTGAGGAGAGCATCTTTCCTCCCTACCTTCCCAACTGACATCGCTTAATGCTTCACTTTATGAATGATTGGCCCTCCGCCTCAGCAGTCGGGAGGTTGAGCGAGAATAAGAGGTTGATGCAGAGGAAAGAAGAGAGAGAGAGAGAGAGAGAGAGAGAGGGACAATGTCAGATACTTAATTGTACTTGAGTGTGAGGGTGAAAAGGGGGAAAGGGGCCAGTTGTGGGCTAGACTGAGGCAGAGACACGAGAGTTATCCAGTCTGATTAAAGAGATGCTTTTGTGTGTGTGTGTGTGTGTGTGTGTGTGTGTGTGTGTGTGTGTGTTTTTATGTGTGCACGTGCGTGTGCGTGTCTCAGCACTGAGACAGGCAGGAATGTGATGCGTGGATCGATACTATCCTTATAGGGCCCAAATCAACCATATGCCCGCTCCTCTAGCACACAGACTGATTGCATGTTCCAACCCAGTCGAGTGTTGATTTGCCATAGAGGGCTATTCATTTCAGTCTGCATCTGTGTTGAATAGCATTTTCATATTGATCCAAGACTGTTAGCATTATCCAAAGTCTTTTCTAAAGCAGTCCCATGAAGGGAATGAATCAGTTCCAGCAGTCAGTATTGTCTCGAGTGCCTGTGCTTAGACTACACCTGTATGCCATACTGTATATTGTAATGACAGACTATATTTATCAATGTAAATATACCAAAGGGGTGGGTGATACTGCCAAAAAATAACATTATGATATTGCAGGCTATTTTTCATGAACAATATTCATGAAGATATGATTAAATACTGGAAAATACTTTATGATTGATTCTATAATTCGTTTACTCAATTTGTAAAACAACTTGTCAATGATTCTGCAATGCTAGTGCTTGTTAGAAAAAATAAATAAATCCATGTCCACTTATTGAAAAATTTCCAGAGCTTTCAGCCACATTTTTCTGGCGCTCATTTCCTGTGCTTAGAATTTTCTGCTTAGCAATTTTTTTCAAACTGCTATTTCCAGGTAGTACCATGATGTGACAAAATTTGATCTCATTAAATATATAAATATACCTGTAATACTGTGAAAGACGCACCTGCACACACTAATTTGTCTTTTTCTTTTCATTGGAAGGGGAAAGTCTTCACAGACTTAGGCTCACAATGTGCTCCAAAATTAGGATCTGTCCCTGTACCACTTCCGAGGCACACTGTGCATCAACACAAAATAAACTGTGTAAATCATGCGTGCTTTTGGAGGGCCCTGAGGATCGTCATGTAGATTTTCATGCACTGCTTTTAACACTCACAAACGTTTAAAACAAAAAAACTGTATATGCACATCCACGCACATGTGACGTCTCCCTTTGCATCATGCTGCGCTGTAATGGAGTGCTTTAGTGTTACTACTACTACTGCTGCACTCTGCTCTAAGCACAATCCCTCTCACATTAAATAATGCAGCTGGCCATTGTGCACAAAGCCCCCCCCCCCCCCCCTTCCCCTCCCGTCCCATAGCAGCCCATATCAGCAGATTTCCGCTTGCTCTGCTATCGCTACACGTAACTGTCCAATTCAGCGTTTACAGGGCCAGCACCATAAACACAATCAACACATTTACACAAGAGCAGCATCAGATGTTTGTTTTCAGCTGCTGTGCCCCCAGAAGAATGCACCTGTCTTTGCTGACGTGTGTAATTGCTACAGTTTCACAAAAGACAGAAAGCAGCCTTAATGCTCCTGGCTCATCGGCATCAAACATTTAAACCATTTATTTATTAATGCAACCTATTTATGTTTTTTTTTTACATAAACACAGTTTTGAAAAGCCCTGGAAAATGCTGACGTAAATCACTGATAAAATGCTTCCTTTACAAATACTTTCAGTAATATGTCAATATGCTGCTCATGCTGATTTTGTATTAAAAACGCTTGTCTCATAGCCATTTACTTAGCGAGCTTGGATGCCAGACATCCAACAAGACAGTTCTTAAGATAAATACGTCCTGAAATACAATGCATATAACATGATCAAATATATGCAGATACAATCTCACACGTTTACTAATGCAGCATCAAAGCCATGTAATTCCTCTCTTTTACATACATAAACGTATTCATTTACTTACACCATTATTTCCCTTTTAAAACGTGAAATACTTCAATCAATTGCCTCAACCTCATTTTGTACCATATAAAGAGTAAACAGCCTAGAGGATCAGCCATGGGTACTTTCCGTTTGATGTCGCATTTAGTGTGTAATCCCCCCCCCCCCAATTAGCTGGGCAGAGGCAGAGAAAAGAGGATAACTTGTGTAGGAAGGCAAGTGTATGTTAGTTATTAGAATTAACTCTTTGTGGTGTACCTGACGTTTGAGTACAGAATGGTATATTACATGTGATATTTAGATATATGGGAGATTTTCATCTTCTCAGGATTCAGTGTCACTTTAAACATTTTAAACTACATTATTTAAAATGTTTAAAATGAAGAAGCTGATCATCGGTGCAGTTATACCAAAGACTCCTAGATTTAAAACATGTATAACTTATGTAGCAATTTACACATCTCTTCATTTGTGGTTGCAGTTCCTTTTCTCTTATTTTGAAAATACCTTATTTAAAAAAAGTGGGAGCGACGCTGCTGTAGGGACCACACAGCGGTTTCTTCAGTGGTATAATGATGGTATTTGAAGTAGTACTTGGATGGGCGTGAGCGTGTGGGTGAATTGAGGTTCTCTCAGGACATTGACGCGCACACTCACGGGTGTCTGCACTCAAGCATGCACAGACACAAAGGCTGAAGTCTGTTTTGTCTTGACAGGATGATGAAGTGGTGCTCCAGTGCGTGGCCTGCATCCAGAAGGAGAATCGCAAGTTCTGCCTGGCTGCTGAGGGTCTGGGGAACCGGCTGTGTTACCTGGAGCCCACATCTGAGGCGAAGGTAGGCACACTGACTCCACTGTTGCGCTGTTTGATTCTCTCTGATCTGAAAAAAAAAAAAAAAACAAACACAAAAAACATTCAGCTCAACACAGAAACGCATGTTGTCGGCGGTGGGATGTATCTGCTCAGATCCTTGATGAAAAATCATCTGCTTCATTTGATGGGAGTTTGTTTTCACTGCAGTTATATCATCAACTTTTATTTTCACACACGCACATTCAGACACTAATATACCCAACAAATGTCACATGAAGCAGTTTGCGGGAAAATGAAGCGGATGAAAGGGTGCATTCACGCGGGGCGAGAGCTCCATGGAAACCAAACATCCATTCAGTTCATCCTTGCTTAGGTCCAGCCAACGATCAGTGAAGCCAAGCGGAGACGCACAGAAAGGCGGCTCAGCACGTCATAAAAACAGGAACAACTGCTCACATCCACCTCGGTCTCCTTGATGAGTTTCTCTTCCGAGGGTTCAGGCACAACTCAGCGGGCCCGCCGTCAGATGATAATTCCCTCAAATCACGCCCCTACACGCGCTTGATGGATTGTTTCATAAACAGTGCTGTCGTTGACTGTAATTGCCTACAGCTTTATTGCATCTGAGCAGCACTGTCGTAGCAGTGGACACCATTTGCTGGTTTTTGCAAATAAGTGCGAAGTTCTAATGACTTTAATTTAATTGTTTTACATTGTAATCAGTGGGCTGCCTCTCTAATGCATTTTTGAGCAACTTATCCAGATTCTGAAGCACATCCTCAACCTTTGTTTCTGCGGCAAGTGATCAAGCTATTAGGCACAATTGTCTGAATAATGATTGGCTGTAGGAGAGAATCATAACCATCTCAAGATAGAACACCAGGCAGGTGCACTGTGTATAAAAAGACGCTTTTCAGGGACAAAAGGGCAACATGAGGAGGCTCAAAGAGTAAGAGCGAATGTTGTACATCAGAAGTTGTTTGTGCATGTGAGCAAAGATCTGTTCATTCCTGGCTTTCTCCCCTTTCAGCTTCCCCCTCCTGCCCTCCGACTGCTCTCACAAACAGTACTGTATGTGTGTCTGTGGTGGAGGAGGGAAGGGGAGGGGGGTGCAAAGAGGGAGGTGAGGCTTTCACCCCATATTGGATGGTAATTATACCTGACAGGTGTGATGGATGTTCTCCCGATCTGGCACTTTGTCTTCATTGCCTGGTGTTTTTATGAAAAGGCATCACCCCACCTTTGGGATCACTGACAGAGAGCCTGAGAAAACCCAAGATGGCAATTTAGAAGTGGGCCCGGACAACTGAACAGGATGCCTCCTTACCTTGGTGAACTAGACTAGTAATGGGGCACAGAGCCAGGACTACAGGATGAGGTTGATTTAAAGTGTGCACAGTTTAAATGGCAACATCAATCAGCCTGTGAGAAGCTGGTTGATTGTGATATACGACCAGCAACTCTGGCCTGTCAGCGACTCAATATTATGACCACTGGAGGGTAGATGCCCACATGCGATAATGGCACACACTGTTGTGTGTACAGTGTGTGGAATCAAGAAACTAGCAGTAGCCAATTGATATTTGCAAATTGTTTGTTTTAGTTCCTTTCTTCATCTCTTCAGGTAACTGTTTTAGCCGCTCTTCTAATTAAGCTGAAAAGGAACTGCAGTATGAGGTCACCTTCTCGGGGCGGTCGGCTTTAACCCTTTTTGACCCTGTCTCTGGAGACAGAAATAAAGACGTGATCTATCTTTGCCCATAATCGAGCTACGCTCTCTCCCTCAACACACGATTGGTCATAAACCGATCGTCAGGGCATGGACAAGCTGTTGTAAAGCTGTCTCCCTGCTCTGCCTTGTGAGTGGACATCCTGACAGGGCTGGACACTCATCATCCCCTCCAGCTCTTCTGGACCTTCATTTCACTTCCCTGCTTAGTCAAGGCAGCTCCCCTCCCCACCAAATGTTACAATCCTGCGCCTGGAGAGAGCAAAGGTCAGCCGTTAGTCACCCAGAGAGATGAGGGCTGGCGGGGGTGGATTGCTTCCCACCAGAGACTTTTACTATGATTTCTCTGCAGTGACACTGCTAGGTTATACATACTGAGAGACAAGGATGTACAAGTGTGAATAGTTTCACATTTTGGTAAATAATTTGATTCTTGCCTAGATTTAGGTGAGATGGTCAATACCACTCTCATATCAGTCCATTAATGTGAAGCTAGGCAGGGCACATTAAGCTTAGCTTAGCTTGAAACAGATGACATTACCTGAAAATACCTGAGTGCAGCCAGAAAACCAAATTTAACTCTCATTTAACTCTTGGCAAGAAAGCAAATATGAAGCGAAAATTCATCTCCAAAATGTCAAACTACTTCTGTAAGTGCATTTGTGGGAGTGTCTTTTTTTTTTTGGACTACAAAAGCATGAATTTGGGAGAGGTTTAGGGTTCATATAAATTCATACAATCTCTCAAAATAAGACAAGTCACTCAAGTTGAGGTCTAAATTAAGCGATTGTGACATCTGGGAGTGTGTCTGTAGTCAGCAGTGCCAATGAGACTATCTGGGAACAGGGTCGTTAGATTTCAACACACTGGCATGTGTTGCCATCTTCATTTTAATTATAGTATTCGTGTATTAAATGTGAATCTGTTGTTCCTTCAAACTGAAACCTTGTTGTGTGAAATTTGCAAATGAGGTTAGATTTAGCAGTGTGAATGATCCAGTTAGGGAGAAGTTGAGATACTCAGTAAGGAGGCCAGGGCAGGTGTTTAGGTTGATATCATTTATCTTATAGCTGTACCCCACAGTCCCTGATTCCCTCATTCTGTCAGTGAACTTCCCTTATTCTCTTTTGTCCTCTCCATCACTGCCCTGGTTTGGGATGCAATTTGGCATCTTCTTCGTCTTTCTAAGTGCATTCTTCCCAGGACATGGCTTATCTGAGCGCAGACTGACCTGAGAGCACTTAATCTGTTTATAAAGTACCTTTTAATGAATATCGCCTGCTCGATTAAGACACACTTGGTTCAAGTGTAGTTAAAAATGCAGCGGTCAGCACAGAATTTTTGATTCAGCATCTATAATCAGAATATCCCTGTAGATTTAGGGAGGAGTTTTCATTTTTCTGGCTATATGTGGACATTTTTGCTCATATAGCAAAAAGTTCTTAAGCCATTAAATCAAAATGTCCATGGACAAGTTACTGTGCTGATCTTTACACTGATGGAGCTTTGCTAAGGGAAGAGACATAGTGGATCAGTGCAGGTTGGGGATGTTTTGTGAGGCACCTCCTGTCATGATGGTAGTCTGGGAGTTTTGATTCAGACATCATTTGACTTCAGCATTTCAATGCTCTGCAGCAGATACTGCACTGTAGATGGTGCTTCACATGTATTCACTCTGTATTCTTTGCACAGCAAGACCATATACCAGATCCAGTCAGTCTTGTATTATTTATATATAGGCTATAATTATTTATGTATATTCCCTTTCTCACCAAAAGCCAAATGAGAAGATACCACTCTTGTGTGGTGAGCTTAGCTTATTTTAGCTTAGCGGCTGGAAAAAGGGTGAATCATCCAGCCTGGCTCTGTGCACCCAGGCATATAGTGCCCCATAAACCAACAAAATGTTGTTTTTGGACTTTGTTGCAGATTAAACAAGCGACATAGTATGTGTTATGCCAACCTAGCTGTGTCCCCCTGCTTCCAATGTTAACGCTAAGCTTAGCTGAAAGGCTGGCTGTAGCTTCCTGTTTACCTTACAGGTAACAGATATGGTAGCAACATCCCTTTAAAGCTACACTAGGTTATTTTGCATTTTGGTTGCCTGAAGGACAGCGTGAGATGACAGTTTCAAAGATTTTTGCTATCAGGAAATGGATAAACTACACTTTTCTTGGACTTAATGTATTGGTTACATAATTGTTAAATTAATACAAATTGTGTACAGAATCTTGTGAGTTAAAGGAGAAGGAGAAGAATTTTTTTGTGGAATCTCGCCCGCTGAGAGAGAAAGTACTTGTGTTCTGATCTCGTCTTCTGTAGCCTCAGCTTCTGGTTTAGCCTGAGAAGACAGCTTGAAGCTATTACAATGAAAACACAGAGGAATACTGTACATAAAGTAAATAAAAGTAGCCTTAGAAACTCCTTTGTGAGAACTTTCGGCTGTGTTGATTTTTAACCCGAGACCCACTTTTGTGTTGTTGCAGTATGTTCCTCCAGACCTGTGCATCTGCACCTTTGTGCTGGAGCAGTCTCTGTCGGTACGGGCCCTGCAGGAGATGCTGGCTAAGAGCGGACAGAACAGTGAAGGGGTGAGTGATGGTACACACCAATACTAACAGACACACACACACACTAACACACAAGAGAGATACACAAGCCATACAACTCTTCATAAGCTATCCCTGAGTCATGTACTTTATGTCTCCACTGTGTTTAGAGATTCAAAAGAGGAGGTTGTAAAAGAGTTTATTGTGTATTGTTCAGTCACTATAAAGAGATTAATTGGAAAAATAGGCCAGTTACAGTGGCCTGGGGACCCCAGTTGCAGAAAGGTCCAAGCCCCCATGAATATCAATGAGGATGAAGGGGATACTCTGGCATTAATGCAGCCGTTCCTCAAGCGCAGCGGGCACTTTTGCCCATTTGATTAACACCAAGCCTGGAAGGAAATCAGCATCATTTAGCAACATATTTGCCTCTGTAAACTCCACCAGCAAAGAGACTAGCTGCCAGTAGATTTGGCTTTTTTTTTTTTTTTTTAAAGAACACTCTAATATAATAAAACTGAAGAGGAGTGTCCGGTGCAGGGAATCTGAATATGTAATCAATACTATGTGGCGGAGTTTGTAATCAACACTCATTCATCTCTGTATTCTCTGCTCCTGATGTTGTTTCAATTGTCTTCTTGCAAGTGTGTTTCCTACTCTTTCTCATTGCTGTGACAGATGTGTAACTCTCCCATCTTTATCTTCTATTTTCTGTGTATAATCTCCATCTTCCGCATGATAGACACGCGGCCCGGATCGATGGGTATGTTCATCCCTCATACCATTCCCCCACTCATCCCTAATGCATGACGCAGTAGATTAGTCACAATACCTCTCCTCAGTTAGTTCTCCTGTTCTCCCCTCATTGGCCCTCTATGTCTCCTATAACACATCACCATCCGACATTTGTCTTTACATCGGGAAAGTGTTAGAAATCGTGATTTTATGCAAACACCAGAGCCCGCGCTTTGAAATAACGGATGATCGTGTGGATTTATTGTGAACACTCGTGTGAGTAGATTGTGTCTGAGCCGACAGAGGCAAATAGAGTTTGGTATAGACTTCCCAATAAGGTTTCCCACAAACATCAGCTCTCGCACAACTCACCTTCCACCGCTGGAGAACTAGAGCGGCACCAATGGTGGATTAGCGTCAGATTAACATTAGTCTTGTCCTCGGGGGATTCAGATGGATGTTCATTGCAGCATCATTTGTTTTGTGCAACCCCCCACGTAGGATATGCTATAAGATGCATAGAGATGATGCAAACAGCTGAGACCAAGATTTCTGCAGTGAAGCAATGAAATTGATCATGATTTTCTGATTTAGTACAAAAAAAAAAATCTCCCAGCATGACTCCCGCTTTAGCCAGTTCACCCTTTAATGCCACATGGATAATGATGGTGAAAATTTCCATAAATCCTCAATTGCTCAGGATCATATTCATTGACTTGACGTTGGAGATAAATGGATGTGTCAGAGCTGGAGCTTTGTGGCCACAGCAGACTATCTGTGCAGCAGAAAGACGGAAGTCAAGACCATTGGTTCCACTGCCGTTGCGGGGAGTTAGCAGGCAGGGAATTCTGAGCCGCAGCAAAGAAAAGGGGTGATCAAAATATTAAACGCTAAATTAAAGCTCAAATGGACATATTTAACTGTTAGTACAGCCTCGTCCCTCTTGCATCAGCACTTCTTTAAGGCCAGAACATCACATTTAAAATCCAAATGAAATTAATGGCCGTGATGTTTTTTTTCTACTGCAGCGTACAAATCTGCTCTGTCCACCCTTTTTTTCCCCTAGAAATTACATGTACATATTACTGAATTGTTTTCCCAGTTACACTGAGGACACCAACATAATCGCTGGCTGGATTTTGTTGCAGGGAGGTGGTGGTTGAAAAAAAAAAAAGCACTTCAGGTTCACATCCTTGGTCGTTTCATTGGTCCGTTTAGACATTTGTACGGCCCTTACTCTTCAGTGCCACCTAACAACACACTGTCTACCCATGACTTATGAGCTACAGCGCAGGTTTGTTTACTCTGTCTTGGGTTCCCCTGCCAAAGCTCAGCCTGCCAGCTGCTGTCAATCAAACACAGACATGCCTCTCCAGCGGCCGAGAGAAAAAGAACTATTTACATCAATAAAAAAAAAACCCGCAAATGTGATTGTGGTTGCACTTTTAATATTGTTGGGTTTCCTACTTTGTATCATTGGAAGATTTACTCATATCACATACTTTTTTTCTTAACCTTTCAGTCCTTTTCTGCCTTTGCAGCAAATACCCCAGACACTTTAAGATGGCTCGGATTGGCCATTTTAACTGTGTTACTTCAGTGCATTCTCACCACTCACGTTTATCTGTTTTCGATATTGTCTACCTATTCATCATTCTTCGCCTGCACTGAAATGTCACTGGAGGAAGCACCATTAAAGGGGAAATGGAGGTTGAATATGTCCCGGCTGAGTCTCTGAGATCAATACGTCTTTGAACAGATGGGCTTATCAATAGACAGTGGCTGGAGCAAATCGGTAGTCCAGGCTGTTTTAGCCGGAAGGCACAGATACACAGAGAGGGACCTGTAGAGACACCACACTAACAACTAGTGTAAATGCCAATCCCTATTTAGCTCAATATCCATATCGTCTGCTCTGTGCAAATTTGTCGCCGTCTCATCCAAAATGCGCTGACCCGTTTGATTCGGGGGTTATTGGTCAAATGAGTCAATCAAAGAGACAGAGCTGCTCCGATGACCCCCACCGGGCAGTGCTCGTGTTTCTCTCCTGTCACTGCCGCCTCTTTTTCTTATAGCTTGCCACTGTCACTGAGAGAAACCACAACACTGTGGCCACATACTCATGTCATCTGCTGCAGGGCCTCACACACCAGGAGGCTGCATCCTGCTTAAATGTCACGTCTTTAAATTGTTATGAAGAAGTCACTTGCGGTCAACAGCCGGACCAGAGATACAGCTCTTAGCCTGTTTCTTCTCTGATGCCTGTTTGATCCAAGTCTTTTCCTTTATGGTTCAATGAGCCAAGGGTAATACTGTTTACAGTACAGCTCAAGGTGTATTGAATTTTTTGCTGCAATGTGTCTCCGCATGTAGAAGATTCTTTTTCTCCCCGATATGAGCCATCTGTACAACACACTGCCCAGCCACAGGATAAGGAAGTGAGCGGGAGACTTCGGTTTATTGGTTGTGGTGATTGCAGCTGGATGTGCCTCGCCGCATTAAGCTCAGTACCTCAGCCAGCATATAGCGGTAGCCAGCAGCACAGAAGAAGCCTGGAAGCCGATGCTGCAGTCTGCACGACACAACTGCATCAAATCACAGGCCGGGCCATTGTCCCAGTAGCCAATCAAGAGGGGGATAGAGAGAGAGAGAGAGAGAGAGAAAAGAGAGACAGAATGAAAGAAAGGCTGTGCATGGTGGGATGTTCTCTTGAAACACTGCCATGATTCATGTATCTCTAAGAAGATATATGACTATAATTTTGTAAAAATCTACAGATACGTATCATTAGTGTCCTGCTGTGCCTGTGGTTTCAGTTTCATGTGACATTTTTATGGTTAAGCTTGGCTGTTTGTTGCATTGTTTCAGGTATTATTTCTGGATCTTGTGCCAGTAGTGTTGCTTTATGAAATGCCTTAAAAAAAAAATGGTCGTCAGCTTGTTTTCCTTTATCCCTGTCAAAAAATGACTTTTTGACAATCATGTGTGCCCTTAGGAGTTTAATAATTTGTACCAAAGATTACAATAAAGTAGTGGCAGGCAGAGAGGCTCAGGAGAACAATAGTTCTTTCTGAATAATGACACTCTTTCTTACCTTAATGCTTCCTAGAGGCTCATAAGGAAGGTGAGTAACATTGGAGTTGCTTGCCGAAGAAAAACAACAAAAACTTCCCCCTTTATTCCCTTTGCATCTCTACCAGTAGAGATATCATTTAATCCCCTCCTGCATCTTAACCCAACCCCATAAGCGGTGGAGTCATTCCCTGCTAATGTTTCACATTGCATCGGAGACTGACAGTAGTTGTGCATCCTTCCCACATTCCTGTAGTCGGAGTGCTGGAAAGATGACCCCGTATCCTGTTTTGCTCAGGGATACAGGAGCCAGAAACACCATCTCCTGTGGCAAGTCAGATTGCATGTCTTCATTGGCGAGATGGGGTCTCAAACCCTCCCCAGGAGATATGTGCCCCCAGCTTGAGGTCATCATCCGTCGGCGAGGAGGTCCTCGCTGAGGTCAACATTCAGTGCCAGAGGTTGGGTGTAGCTTGAAGCAGTTGGAGGGAGACCACTGGGGCGGTTCTGTCAGGAGCCTGAGCTGACATATAAATACGTATTTGTGTGTGTGTGTGTCTGTGTGTGTGTGTGTGTGTCTGTGTGTGTGTGTGTGTGTGTGTGTGTGTGTGTGTGTGTCTGTGTGTTTTTGCACATGCAAATGATCTCTCTAGGCAGCGCAGAGCGGCGGACACAAGACTCTTCTGTACGGACACGCCATCCTCCTGCGGCATTCCTTCAGCTCTATGGTAAGAGATTCCACACATCAATGTCATCATCATAAAAAAGTATCACGAGTATCACAGTAGCTGGATTTAAATATCATTAGTAATTTAAGTCACATGAGCAGCAGCATGTGAGTGTGTGTGTGCCTGTGCGTGTGTGTGTGTGTGTGTGTGACATCTCTGTCTCATGTGGTTTGATGTGTGTGTTGACCACAGTACCTGGCCTGTTTGAAGACATCAAGGTCACAGACAGATAAGCTGTCCTTTGATGTCGGCCTGCAGGAGGACTCAACAGGTAAAAGAGAACCTCTGGTACAGTTTGCTTTTATCGTCCTCTTTCTTCTCTTTCACTCTTGCCGCCTCTGTCTCTTTTTTTGTCCGTCTCCGTCTTTGTTACTTTGTCTCTCCGTCTGCGTCTTTCACTCTGTCTCTCTCTCTCTCTCTCTTTATCTCTCTCCCTGCTCCTTATTTGTTCACGATAGAATTTCGCTGTGTGTCTTTCCAGCGTCTCAGTTAATATTCCCTGTGGAGCACTGTAGACATACAGTGTGCTTCTTTTGTCAGTGCTGATTACATCTCTGCAGCTCATTTGATAGTCTTGTTGGGTGTCCCGATACCTGAATCCACTTCTTATTAGCAATGTTATTTATTTCATGCCTTGCAGTGGATGAGCAGTCACCTCAATATGTCTTGAAAGCATTGCTGCCATGGTGCATTTCAGCCGGCTCTGGCCGTTTTACATTATTAGTAATTACAGAGGACATTTGGACAGTGACAGTGGGGTGTTATCACAATCAGTGTGTTTAGACTAAAAGATGGAGGCGGCATGTGTGCGCCTATGTGTTTCTGTGTGCCATTAGGTGAGGCCTGTTGGTGGACCATCCACCCTGCCTCCAAACAGAGATCGGAAGGAGAGAAAGTGCGCATCGGTGATGACCTCATCCTCGTCAGTGTGTCCTCAGAGCGATACCTTGTAAGTGTATTGTTTGCCATTTGATCCTTGACGCTGCAGCTAGTGTGTGTGTCTGTGTGTGTGGGCATGTGTTTGCATAATGTAGAGGTCTTACTAGAAGAGCATCAACTCTGCTTCGCCTGATGTGACAAAATTTCAGATTATCCAAATCCTGTTAGCACATACTGCACTCTCCCTATGACCTCTCTCCTGCAGGAGTCTTAACGTCAAAAGCAACAACTTTTTCCTTCTGGGTGACTATGAGACTGCGAACAGTAACATTAAAAAAAAATTGATCTGCACTGGAAATGTCTGGTTTGGATTATGATTCCTTTAGACTGCTGCCAGTGCCAGTTTCTCCGGTTATCATGCTCGTCACTTTCCCACATCATAATAATTATGTACCTATTACACGTCTGAGCTGACCTTCTCAGCAATTGGCTTTTTTTTTTACTATTAGACCATTCAGCCCTCTGAGCTTTAGCATCATAGTACTGCCCTATGTAAACCCCAGGAAACATGTTCCATGTGATTCATGAAGTTGGAGTCAGCAACCAGGCGGTGTTCACCCTGTGATGGCGGGAGGGGCACAGCCAGATGACCACTAGTGCCTTACAGTTACCAATGTCAATCTGGTAGTCTGCTGTCACCCTCACAGTGGTATATGGGGACAGGCAGCACCTAAGGGTTGCAGAGGGACTCTGGGGAAGGAGGATGATCAGGACACAGCTGCCCCGAAATTTGTTTGGTTTCTTTTTTGGACAGAATTTGACACACAAACACTGTGGGGAAAACACACCGATGCGCACACACACACGCACAGCATAACAGCCCCCCAGATGGTATGAATCCCTAAACTCTCAAGGCATCTGTCAGTCAATTTTATGGTTCCCTCAACTCTCAATGATAAACTTGAGTTCTCTGCTGGATCAGTGATCACAGGTTGTTTCAAACTTTAGTCGCTTTTCATGTTGAATCAACTCTGTCGATCTGTCCATAGAAACTTAACTTAGATTTAGCTGTTACGTTATTGTCAAGAGATTCAGCTCACAAACATGATTAATATAGTCTTATTGTACAGTCTTATCAGGTTCATGGTGGTAAATCCTTTTATTCAATCAACAACTTTACTAATCAAAAGTAAAACAATGCAGGTAAAATTTCTTATAAAATCCTTTTTAATAATCCATTTTTGCCTGGTAACAGTTTTTGAAAGCCAAGTCCATGTAATGTCACTTGTATGAATGTACACAAATAAATAAATGGTGCATGCAATCTCTCCTTGTGTACTGCAGCACTTATCCATCTCCAATGGCAATATCCAGGTGGATGCTTCCTTCATGCAAACCCTGTGGAATGTCCATCCCATCTGCTCTGGTAGCAACATAGAGGAAGGTAGAGACTTCGCACAAAATAACAGACTCCACAGTGTCTTCACAATTTTCTCTAAAATTCCTCATTGTTTTTGCAAGTTTTCAAATTTTATAAATTGAAAAAGGAAAGGAAAAAAGGCTGTCAGACACACGTGAATTAGAAAACATGTCTTATAGGAGCTATTTGTAAGTTTTGCTATGGCTACAAAGCTAGCGTTAGCGTTAACAGCTGTTTACTTACCAGTCTAGAAGAAACATCGCCAATTCAGCATCAAACTTCATTCCTTTACTCGCCAAGAGCTGTCTCCGGCGGTGGAAAACAGCACTAGCGTTACCTGTGGTCTCAATCACGTTTTTTCTTCTACTGAAGTTAGCACGCTAACCAGCGAGCCCCGGGCCATCTCGTCACTTTCTGATAGCGACTCACTGTAGCCTCCAGATGTAGCGCTGTTCAGAGGGGGAATTATAACCTCTTGTCTTGTAAACGAAACAAGCGCCAATCACCAGCGCTCACTCCAAACCACGTTTTGCGGCAGAGAAAACTTACAAATAGTTTAAGATGGTTTCAAGTTTCTACTAAGTAGTCAAGGAAAAGCAACAAAAGACACAAAACACTTCTCTTAAATTCATTTAACACCCTCGGAATCAATTATTATGTAATAAAAAAAAATTTTTTAGTTTAGTTTAGTTAGTAGTTTAGTTTTTTGAATTGTGGATCTGATGATTCCAGTCTAAAAGTAGACATTTTTGTGGCTTTGACCATGCCCAGCATTAATACTTATCGGTGGATATATGGGAAACACTTTGTCATAATTGGATCTGGATTTATTTCTTGAGTCTTTCAGAAACCCACCTAAAATACAAAAGTGCTCCCTAAATTTGTAACCCACTTTTGTGATCTAGATAGTCCTACTTTCCAGATTGCATCTCTGAGATGACCAGTATTCACAGTGGAGGCAAAAGCAGCAGCTAAAACAGGAAATTAAATACCTAGAGCCACCCATGTCTTAATCCTCTGTCCTTCCTCTTCCTATAGGCTACCTGCTGGGCGGTCATGTGATGCGGCTGTTCCATGGACACGATGAGGTAGTGACCATCCCGGGATCAGACCAGAGTGAAGAGCAGCAGAGGTGTGAAACACAGCAAACGTTGAACAAACAAGATTACACTGAAGTGTTGGGGGGTTCACCCTTTAGTGAAAGTGAAGCTGTTGCATAGCATATGAGAAGCTAACTGACCTGTGAGTTACCCATGGTTCCTCAGCTTCCACCTCGCTTCATAAAAATGCCCGTGGCCGGCGTAACCCTCGGCTCTCCAGGGAGCCGAGATGGCTGCTGTGTTATTTTTATCTCCAGTATTGCTGCTTAGTGCTAACACAGATAGGGTAGGCTGCAGAAAAATGGCACACTGGGCTTGAAGTGGGTCAAAACAGTGGGCAAGGTCCATACACATTCAGCCAGGTGCCAGGAGATGAGTACATCTACATGAGTGCACACACACACACACACACACACACACACACACACACACACACACACACACACACACGGTCTATTTTTAGAACAGGGCATGGCAAACATGGGGGCGGGATTTGATATAAATTTCCAGCTTTGGCTTTTCTCCTAGTGTTGTCCTTGAAATTCAACAGGAACATGTTTTTTTAGAGGTCTTATGTTTTTCTGGGGCAGATCACACACACTCCAAGCTGTCAGCAGGAGGGATGATGAGCGATTTCTTTTATCTTTGGACCCAGTCACCCATATCACTGATAGACAGTGTAGCTGTGAGTTATCAGGGCGCACATGTCTCTGTTTGAAGGATGTGACGCTGTAGTCTGCAGAGTAAATACAGCCCATGCTTCAGCGTGTGTGTGTGTGTGTGAGTGTGTGTGACTACGTGTCTGAATTGAACATCCTCCCAGTGAATATCAGTGTGACAAATGAGAGTAAACAAGTGGTGTTCTTCTAAGCCAGGATGAATGACCTTGACAGTATCAGTGGTGGCTAGACGTTTAAAGCATCCACAGACAGACCACCCACCCACTCACGCTTCTCTGGCATCCCCAGGATAGTCAACTATGAGACGGGTAATGCCGGCGCCAAGGCCAGGTCCTTGTGGAGGCTGGAGCCACTCAGAATCAGGTGGGTTGTGTTTCACGTGATCTGTTATATATTCCCTTCCTTTCTGCCTCTCACTTCGTACTTTATTTCTTTCATTTTCCATCATTCTCCTTTTTTTCCCATCTCACCTTTTTCTTGCTGTCTGCTGTCTCCGCTTTCTATTTTTTCTCCCTACACCCATTTGTCCTTTCCACTCTCTCACCACCTATGATTTAATGCTGCACTGTGGCCTCTCTGTCTCTTTTTCCCTCCCTCCCTCTTTCTTCTTTCATTCTGTCCCTCTCCTTGTCTCTTTCAAGTCTTTGATCCTATCTCTTTTTTTTTTTTTACAGTCTTACAGGGATGCAGCCTTTCCTTTTTCTATTCCACGTCTTGTGTCAAATATGATGTTTGTCACATTTATCGTGCTTTTTGACCCTGTTTTGTTTTGAATTTCCTGAATAGAATCAAAGAGAAATGATGAGAGAAATGATTTAAGTTATTTGCTAATTATTCTACCACAGGGTGCGACAGATAATTAACAGCTTGCAGCAATGTTTAGATCAACTAATTAGCAGATATTAGGCTTCAGGGCTTATGAAATACAACCTTTTTCTTCTTGTATGTTTGCATGTGTGCTTCATTTTAATATGTGGGTTTGACCTTGACAGCTGGAGTGGGAGCCACATCCGCTGGGGCCAGCCTTTCCGACTGCGCCACCTGACCACTGGTCACTACCTGGCCCTGACCGAGGACCGGGGGTTGGTGCTGCAGGACCGAGAGAAGTCCGACACCGTCGCCACAGCCTTCTGCTTCAGAGTCTCTAAGGCAAGGACACACAGACACAAGGGCACGAACACACATGAAGATGCACGCGCTCGACTCCCCGCTGTTCCTCAAGGTGACCTGTTTCATACAGGATCAACCGCACACTTCCTCATTAAGTGCCACCGCGAAGGCGTTACAAAGGACCTCCTCGAAAACCTTCACAAATGAACCGCCCACTCTCCTTGGACTGGAAAATCACCATTTTTTTCAAGGACAATGAAAATTACAAGAATTATTGGACCAATGAAAGCTGCGCCACAGAGGTTAATTTAGCTGATCTTGCCGACTCTGACTGAACCGACCATTTAGCCGTACTCTGTAATGGAGTTTCTAGATATGGCCGGTGATTGTGAGCCTATTAGTGACCCCTCCAATGTGGATTTAAAGCAGGTATTATAGAATGTAAGTGAAGTCATTTATCATAGGACTTTTCATGTCGATCATGGGTTGCAGTGATCCTAATAGCGGAACAAATACAATCACTGTGATGGATAGAACCATAAACGGCAGATGCTGTTGACATTTGGGTGGTGGTTTGATTAAAAACAAATCTGCATGTGGTATCTCTCTATGTGCACATGTATTGTGCGTCTCACACTGACAGCTTTGACGTGTTCTTTTTCTCGTCCCCTGTGCAGGAGAAGCTGGAGCAGAGCCCCAAGCGGGACATCGAGGGCATGGGGGTGGCGGAGATTAAATACGGGGACTCACTCTGCTTCATCACGCACGTGGCCACGGGACTCTGGCTCTCCTATCAGGCACCTGATGTCAAATCTGCCCGTCTGGGTCCCCTCAAGAGACGAGTGAGCCGAGACAAACACAAGCACACACCGTTCTGTCTTCGACTTAGAATGCAAAGCGTGCACAAAAACAAACAAAATTAATAAATGAGATTCCTTGGAGCAGATAATTATTTTTGGGGTAATGAGCTGATTGAGTTAAGGTGATTGTCTATTAGTTTGTATCTCTACCTCGACTAAATATAAACCTTGTCCCTTGGCTACTGTGGCAGAAGTGATAGAGGTGTGCGCGCGATAATGTGTATGACGATGTGTCCTCCATGTAAACACAGCCAGATAGCCTGTAGTGTCAGCACCTGTGTTCCAGACATTGTGGCTCATTGCTGGCTGAGGACGACTGGAGGCTTTTTCTCCTTTAAATGTCTTTCCTCTTTCCTTTTTTTTTTTTTTTTTTTGTTCCTTCTCCCTGTTTCCCATTATCGTCTCATAGCAGTGTCTCACACTCTTTTTCTCTCTGTGACGCCTTCACAAGGCGTGTCTACATTCTGAAGGTCACATGGATGACGGGTTGACCCTGCAGCGCTGTCAACACGAAGAGTCCCGCGCAGCACGCATTATCCGCAACACCACCCTGCTCTTCAACAGATTCATCAGGTAGGTCGAGAAAAAAGAAAACGCTGCTAAATTCCTCACTGGTGTCAGTCAGTGACGTGATCGCACAAATTGCCCAATTAAACCAAATTACAGTCCACATTTGTCCTGAGCCACTTTATTATGGTAATGAAGTGTCCTGTCAGTGGTACAAGTTACGTAAGCACCACACTGATGATGGTAGAGCATAGTTAGTACAAGTGATCAAACAAAAACTCCCCAACATCACTTCATCACCAAATTATAGCTGAGTCTGAGGAAAACCAGACATCTGAAAGCCCCACAGACTCTCACACAGTCCTGATGTAACGTCCCTGCTGATTGTCAATGTACCCGCCGGAGAGTTCAACTCTGGGCCTGTGAGTTTTGACTGAGTGGAGTGCCAGAGCCCCAGACAGCTCACTCAGTGGTCCAGTCATGCGTTTCCAAACGGCAAACACTGAAGCGGCGTCACGGCTATGCACGGCCAGGTCTGGAAAAAGGCAGCCGTGGAGCACGTAAGTGGATGCCTCCAGTACCCTTATTTGTTATCAAATGGCCCGCTGTCCCCCCGGGGTTGGGCTCAGGGGCACTCATGGCGGCAACATGTGAGAGAGTCTGTCAGCCCCAACCCCCTCCCCTCGCCCCCGCCCCCTGCGGCTGTGACACATACATCTCCCCGCACCCCTCCCACGCGTACAACAGGAGCTATTTTTAGCAGGCCAGCGGAAATCAGCATTTCAGCATGAATGAACCTGTGGGCCAAACATTGTGTTAGTCATCACAGCTTCAGCTCAAGTCGGCTCAGCCTCCCAGTCAGAGTGTATTTACCTGAGGTTAAATGCATTTGTGATGAATGGGAGTATTTTTAAAACCACACATGGTCACAAACGTCAGTAGGGGACGGCTGTCGTGTTTGAATTAGGGGTTTTTCTTGTGTATATTGATGATTTTATGCTCCTCCTGTCTCCCCCTCCCAGAGACCTAGACTGTCTGGGTCTTAAGAACAGGGCACTGGTCGCCCTGCCTGTCGAGGAGGTGCTCCAAACTCTCAATGACCTCATCACCTATTTCCAGCTCCCTGACGCTGAGCTGGAGCACGAAGAGAGGCAGATCAAACTGCGCTCGCTCAAGAACCGACAGAATCTATTCAAACAGGAAGTGAGTTTCACCATGGAGGAAGGCGTAGCAAACTAATAGTCCATGAAATATCAATTAGTAATACCGTGTGCTGTTCTGCAGTGCAGCAAAAAATATTACAAACCCAGAGTGAAGGGCTGTGATTGAGGTAATTCTAGTAAGCGACTGCACATAGGAGTGAGCCGAGAGCAGCGGCGAAGCTGCAAAAAGGAAAAAAAAGTATGTGAAAGGCTGAAGCAATTGATTCTTTGAGGTGTGTTTCAATGCCATCTTGTATTTGGAGGCACTGCATTTGAAGGTGTCAGCAGCTTTGGTGTTATAAGTTTTCCTGAGGCTGGCACAAGTGCACTGAAGCTTTCTGCTAAGCCTCTAAGACCTAAATTGCTTTCATCAATTACGGAATGTCAGCTGCCTTACTGGAGGGGGGCTCTATGATGTCAACTATCCAAACTCTTCCTAACTCTAATAGGCTACAACAATGTGTCACCGTAGCCTCAAGCCAACATGAATGTATATTAGCTAAATGGAATACATGTACTTTTTTTTTATTTATTTTTTTTTTACAAATATTAGCATAAAACACATTGCAAATTATGCACATTTCAGCAGTTCAGCTTTCATCTTATTTACCTGTCTTTCCGTGCTAATACACCAAAATAGCACATCTCTGTCCCACCCCTAATATATTGCATTAAGAAGGTCAATTTGTCACTGCAGACGGCTGACTCGTGATTTTTCCTGACATTATAAATCATCTGAAATTTCCATTTTGTCTTTTTAATGCCCCCCATTTAGCATATCTGATCACTATAGATATTTCTCTGTAATATAAATCACCATGACACGGCCACCAAATGAGACAGGAGAGAGCCATAGGGCTGCGTTCAGGATGGTCAACTAATTTAATACTGCAGGAAAAGATTTGGCCAAATTACACTATTCTATTAATAAAAAACAGCTTGTCTTTGCTATCAGATGTACAGTATTTCAATGTTTAAAATGCATATATTCCATATTTATGTTTTTTTCATGTATATGTATGTGGATATATTAATCAATCAATCAATCAATGGTGGATCACTGTGTATTTCCAAGGGCATGCTGACTCTGGTTTCCAACTGTATCGACCGTCTGAACGTGTACAACAGTGCGGCCCACTTTGGAGAGTGTGCCGGGTCTGAAGCCGGAGCAGCCTGGAAAGATATTCTCAATCTGCTGTACGAGCTGCTGGGTAAGAAGCCCCTCTACCATACACACACACACACACACACACACACACACACACACACACACACAGACATATGTATGTACAAACACGCACACACACTTAAACTGATTCCCCACTGTAATCAATCACAGAGACGAGAGTCGTCGTTTGAGGATAAAGTAGCTGCGAACGCGGCGGCTCAGTGGTGATGAAGAACTGTGCTGACCTGGTATTTAACCGGCCATTTACAGACGCTTCAGTCTGGAGGATTGAATTCCGAGGGTGCCAGAATTCAAACAGCCCAACAAATACACACAGACACACAACACACATGCGCACACACCATAGATACTCCCATCTCTAATACTCACGTTCTCTCATTGTCGGGGAAAAGACTTGGCGGCACGTGGCCCGCTCTGTACAAAAGAGCTTTCCAGTTTATATGATGTGCTTCCAGGGCACCAGCCCAATAAGATCAGTCGTCACACACCCCGACACACACATACGCACAAACATTTTGGCTGTTTGGTCATTGTATGTCAATTCTCATCACTGCCTATGCTGTTTTCTGTTTTGTTTACTAGCTCTTGCTGTGCTCTTAATGTTCCTATAGACCAATGTCATCAGTCCTGACTTTCCAAACTCGCTTTAACGTCTTGCACTGCTAGCATATGCTCTGTCAAATATAGACGTAGCTCACTAAAATGACATGGCAGGGAAAACAATATATATATATATATATATATATATTTAATTTTTTTTTCCTGTCCTTCTCTGTCTGAAAATCCTGCCGTGTTGTATCTGATGAATACAATGTTAGGCTTGAATATTTCCACTTCACTTCATTTGTTATGGCATAAAAGATGCATTTGTGGGCAGAAAAATATTGAGCAGGTGTGATTTTCTTCTTGTCATGTTTTGGATATCTCACATTCTGGATAGCCTTTATGTAAAGTTAATCTTTCATCCAGCAACGCTGAAGCCCCTCTGCCCACCAAGTGTGTCCTTCACACTCTTATTTACACTGATTTCACCTCCTGGCTCATATTAGAGTTCCAGCCACGTTCCTCTCTTCTCCTGTTCCCTCCTCCACGCACATCTGCTCCGGCACAACGCTAAGTGGATTTGGGATGCCTCCCTCCTTTCTTCCCCGACTGTCTGTGTTAGGTGACCCTGTCTTTTTTTTTTCTTTTTTTTTTCTTTTTTGCTAGGACATATGTGGGTGTGTTTGTCCGCATGTGTTTATGTCTTTTCTCTCCTTGTTTCGTTCCCTTCTCTCTATCTGAGGCATCTTCCAAATTAATATGTATAAGGGTGTCAGAACCTCTCGCCTTCCTTGGCTTTGGGTGTGCATTTATGGTGTCCACCTTTGGGTGACATTGTTTTTGCTGATGTGTAAGAAGTGCGATTTGGCAGTGCACTGAAGGGGATCCATAGAACCACTTGGAACAACACTGTCAATTTTGAGTCACGCACACTATTCCCTTCTACCCTGCAGCGGCGTTAATCCGAGGGAACAGGAACAACTGCACGCAGTTCTCCAACAACTTGGACTGGCTGGTGAGCAAGCTGGAGAGACTGGAGTCTTCTTCAGGTATCCTCATTATTATTCTCACACACACTGAGGCTTCAGTTAGACAGCATTGTGAGATACTCTGCGTTTTTTCTGACTGAGACATCACAAAACTATCAAATTCCTTTGGTGACAATCCAGCTCTCCTCAACAGGGACACGAAGTCTTAAAAGATGTAAAAAAAAAAAAAAAATGACACTGCTTCCTTGAGAAATGATATAGGTGCCTCTGCTTTTTAAATGTATAGTTAGGAATGTACTAGCAGCACTGAGTGTTCCCTGTTGATCTATGTGGATGTCTCTTTGACGAGTGTCCTCTTTTGTGTCTTTCTCCTCTGCTGGTGTTAACTAATTGATGAATTTGCGGTTGCGCAGGCATCCTGGAAGTTCTGCACTGCATTCTAATTGAGAGCCCCGAGGCCCTCAACATCATCCAGAGAGGACACATTAAGTCCATCATATCCCTGCTCTACAAGCACGGACGCAACCACAAGGTGAGCAGCAAGTAGTGCTACTACAGTCAAGTGTTGATGTAGGGTACTATCTCTGCTGTGATATGAATTAATGACACATCTGGGCTCCATCTTTGTGTATAATGTGGTTGCGCTACATGGAGAATGTTGCACGTTGATCCCAAGTTGTAAATTAGGGTGAGAATAAGTTTGTGGTGTTGGTGGAAAGAAACCACATACTGAAAATACAGAATTGCAGTTAAGAATAAAATAATTAAAAATATGGGCGATTCACTTCCTAGCTGAGAGTCAGACAAGAAGATGCCACGCACGCACATCTGTAAGGTAAATATGTAGCTGGAGCCCGCAGCCAGTTAGCTTAGCTTAGCATAAAGACATAAGGACTGGAAACAGGGGGAGACAGCTAACCTGGCTGTCCAAACATAATAATATCTACCAACCAGCGCCTATATCTTGGTCAGGGCCAGTAACTTCCACGTGTCTCAGCCAGTTGCCTGGAAGCTGCTCCTAGCCAAGAAAAATAATCCGGTACATAACCTACAGTTTAATGGAAAATTGTCATTTATACACTGTAGTTTTTGTGCGTAGAGCTTGAGAGGAGCTGGTGAGTGGACTTTGTTACATAACTTCGACAGAACCAGGCTAGCTGTTTCCTCTTGTTTCCAGTCTTTAAACTAAGCTAACCTGCTGCTGGCCCCAGCTTCACTTCTACCTGAAGGTGAGACTGGTATTAATCTCGTCATCCAACTCTGAGTAAGAAATGAAATAAATGTATTTCCCGAAAGGTCAAACTGTTCCTTTATGATGTGTAGGGGAAAAAAAGTGAGATGTTGTCAGAAATGTTTACTCAAGCAAGAAAGCAGACGAAATGCAGTGAAAGTGCCTTCTGCCTGTTTGTCTTGTATCCAGTCATCTCCAGTTCCTTTCCTCATTAGGCCAAAGCAGTTCACTGGATGCACATTAATTTCCATAACAGTTCCCTTTGGGCCTCTTTGTCACTGATTCTTCTCTTTAGCTACTAATTCATTGAACTTACCTTTACCCCCAGCATACAAACTTCTATCTTTGACAGAGGCTTCCTGGAGGTTTGGTTGCTGTGCATCCCCATCATGAATCAATCACCTTAACAGTGAAATGAGATCAGGAGCAGGCAGTTAGCCGGCCTGGGTCATAAATCAGCCTAAATGTATCATTTTGCCATAGAAGCAGGAGAAAAGGGCCAATGATAAAGCGAAGGTGTTCTGGCCTGTCACCGTTGGCTGAGCTTCCCGGCCCATTTAATTCTACGGCTTTGTTAACCTAACATCAAAGGGATATTATTGGACATGTTTTTGCCCCCAATAAGCATCTCAGAGTAATTATGCAAGGGTTGCATGAAAAGGAGCTGACCCTAGAGCAGCAACTTGGACAGTGATTAGAGAAAAAGATAATTAGTCATTTCTTGAAAGGTATGGATTCATATCCAGGGTTTAATTGGGGAAAATGGGTCAGTGTGTAATCAGTTATTTAGGTGGGTGGGGGGTGGGTGGAAGGGGGTTGTTAATTGTGCTCTTCCTCGTGTTATTGTTGCTCATTTTCCTCCCTTGGTGCTTCCACTTCCTTTTTCAGATTCTGGATGTGCTTTGCTCGCTGTGTGTGTGTAATGGTGTAGCTGTGCGAACCAATCAGAACCTTATCTGTGATCACTTGCTGCCCAAGAGAGATCTGCTGCTGCAGACCCAGCTGGTCAATGATGTGCAGAGGTTAGAAAGCCATAAACGCACTATTCTTTCTTTCAACATTATGTTCCTCTGATATATTGATTTTAATTTTGATTTTTTTTCGTCAAAATTACGCTTAAAAAAAAAAACCTTAAACTGAGGAAGTTGGGTCTCATTTGAAGAAAATAACTGTGTTACCAAGTGACATTAAAACCTTAGGAATGTCTTAGTAGAGACCATTAAGTTCTGTTCATTCACCATTCCTGCCTTTGGACTGTGTAATTGAGTGTACAAGGTACACGTCTAAAACTACAACAACAAACTACTACAAGTGTGGTCGAGTACACTAAACAACATGGTCTGCAACTTGGAACGGCCTTTGGGCCTTTGAATCTCATATTATTCCCTATTAACTTTCAACCTTTCAACAGCGAGAAGAGGTATTTTGTTGAGGGTGAGATAATTTTAACTCTGATTTTATCTCAGATCTAATTGGATCGTTTTCTTGACACTAGCAAAGTAATCTGCTTTGCTCTGCCTTGTTTCAAGATATCACTTTTTAGGAACTTCCTGGACCAAATTCATTTCAAGCAAATTGAATGATCTTATCCTAAGGGCAGACTTTTTCATTAGTTTTACGAAAAAATAAGGTATTACAATTAAATACGAGAAGATCTTAAATTCCTCTGAGGGACGTCTAACAATTTTGTGTTTCACTTCATTGCCAGTATGAGACCGAATATCTTCCTTGGGGTGAGCGAGGGCTCAGCTCAGTATAAGAAGTGGTACTATGAGCTGATGATCGACCAGGTGGACCATTTTGTGACCAGCGAGCCCTCCCACCTGAGAGTGGGCTGGGCCAACGCTAAAGGATACGCTCCCTACCCTGGAGGAGGAGAGGGCTGGGGGGGCAATGGAGTTGGAGATGACCTCTACTCTTATGGTTTTGATGGACTCCACCTCTGGTCAGGTCAGTGTGAGGAGGAAAATTCTGTGTTTTTGTGTGTGTAGCTGAGATCATAATAAGCTCAAGCATTAAAAAGGAGTGGTAACCCTGGCTGTAGCCAGGGTTGTGTCTAGACAGAGTCAGTACCCTGCAGGGGCGATCTCCTTGCCCAGATTGTGAGTAACTGTGTGTACAAATATGTGTCCTGTGTGTATTTCTGTGTTTGTGTGTGTGTGTGTGTGTGTGTGAGAAAGACGTGATACGTGCCAGCATCACTCACTGGGCCATATTTCACATAACTCTGTGTGTGCATGTGTGTGTGTCATGAACAGGTCGTATCCCGCGGGCGGTTGCGTCCATGAACCAGCACATCCTGACCTCAGAGGATGTAGTGAGCTGTTGTCTGGACCTGGGAGCACCCAGCATCTCTTTCAGGATCAATGGACAGCCTGTCCAGGGCATGTTCGAAAATTTCAACACAGACGGCCTCTTCTTCCCTGTTGTCAGCTTCTCTGCAGGGGTCAAGTGAGTGTTTATTTGTCATTCCTGTGTGGTGACCGAGACGAGCAGACTCCCTAAAATTCTGAAATTCCTTGATAATGAATGAGATACACATGGAATAAATATATCAATATATATATCATATACAGTGTGTATATATGTATACACACTGTATATGTACACACTGAAACAAAATCTGCCTTGAAATCCATGTATTCTACCCACTCATTCCGATCCAAATGCATTAATCCTCAGGGCCTTCAGATTGGGCACAGGTAAAATATGCTGGCTTCATATTCCTCTCTGTTGCCATGGTGACCACAGATAGTGTGATTGACAAGACTTTAAAATGGAATTTCAGGCTCCAGCAGTTTTCCCTTGATTCCATGATTGACTCTTACTTTGTAGAGCAAAGCAGCATTTTGCATTTACAGCTTTCACTCTCTGAAACCCAGAGACACTTGACACCAAGAGACTAGTGTGATTTCATTTGGTCATGCAAGGGCTCAAAGAGTGAATTCATTTCTTACTGCCTGAAAATGAATTCTCAACAAGTAATACCATACCTGATAGAGTATGTGCAGTGGAAAGATAAGTTTCCTCTGAGGTGTATAGTAACATGTCATCCCCCCTCCCAAACATGCTGGAGAGTGCTCTCAGTTATTTCATCTTTGCCTGTTTGTGCTTTGTTTTCATTTATATAAGGAAAGAAAAGGGATTACAGCTGTGTATTACTTTCCAGTCTTTGGTGACATCACTTCCACATCTTCTCCTCTACAAACTACGTCACATTTAATAGCCTCATTGTTCTCCCACAGTATATATGATTTACAGAATTGATTTTTTTAAGCATCCGCTGTAGCCAAAGCTTCAGGAGTTCTTGAGTCTCCTTAAAAAGTGTGTCCAAGCTCTCTCCAACTATAGGTTTTTCAATTTGGAGTGAAAGATGGTGCTCAAGTGTCATTCTGCTCTTCTTTTCTGCTCACCCTTTTTACTCCTACCTTGGTATTTCCAACTCCCCTTTACTGCAGTCCTTGTTGCTTCTAACTCCAATGTTAACATTGTTAACACAATCCCCATGGAGTCACCAGATGCTTATTTTTTCTCATGTCAAGAAACCAAAACTTTCTGTAACCCTGAATTCTTGATGAGTGGCATAATAATATTATTTAACCGATTCCGACATGACAGTAAGTCACCCAGCTTTACTCTCTCAGGGTTCACATCACACTCCTGACTCTACTCATGTTAACTGTTAACACCCTCAACTGTTCCCATAAAACAACAGCCGAACAGCTAACTAAAATTACCCTGAGGCAAGGGGACATGAATAGGCAACTTGAATATTACACAACAACACCACATTAATTATTCTGTAAATAATTAAATAATAACTGGAAGTAATAATGCTAAACTGCAAAATCTGCCACAATCCAAAATAACATTGTGGAAAAATCCCAACTAGACATATGTAATTTATAAAGCTCAATTACACAACATAAATGACTAAAGCAAGATCAAGCTTAACATTTTACATATTTAATACTTAACATATTTTTGTCCTTAAAGTGTCTAAAAACACCTTAAAATTAACTTAAGATATTAACAAGTATTAAAATATCTTAATTACATTTGTTAGATAAGTTTCTCTCTGTAGCATGTCCATTCTTAGATTTATAGTACATAGAACATGGTTATTCACATTATTATACACTGCACTTTGTTTACTTCACCAAACACAGCTGATCTCAGTGCCCTCCTCCTATCTGCCTGTATTTCACCTGTGTCTTGGTATTGAGGATTTTCAGAGTCAACGCTCATTATCTCACATGGACAGCTCGACCTCATGACCACTTTTGGGTGGTTTGCGACACCTCTGAGCTCGTACTCGAACCTGACCCAGTGAACAGGGTGAACATCTCTGTGGAGATGAATGTGCCAGAAAATGACAGCCGCACATCTTCACCACTCAATAATTGAGGGGCTGCAGTGAGAATGGGCCTGGTTGCGTCACCACTACTACTTGAGTAGCTATTTTGGGTGGTCTCAGGAGAGTCTCTTCACTGTGATGGCCTGAGACGTTTTTTCAGTCCCAGAGCTAAACCTGTCCCTGTTAGAGCAGAGGCTGGAATTGATTGAAGTGGATTAAGAAGAGGAAAAGTAGTTATGTTTAGCTGCATGGCTGGTTTTCTTTTCACTGCCTGCTTCTTTCATTAATATAATCTGATAAATACATGATTAAAAATAAAATTTATATTTACACACGCATTCCTACCCATTAATTAACTTTTTTCCTCTTGCATGTTTTGTGTGTGTACAGTAACAGAATAAGGCAACACGTGACCTACATTTTATCTTTTAAGGGTGCGATTCCTTTTGGGTGGTCGACACGGCGACTTTAAGTTCCTGCCTCCGTCAAGCTACGCTCCATGTTATGAGGCTCTGCTGCCGAAAGAGAAGATGAAGGTCGAGCCGGTGAAAGAGTACAAGAGGGATATGGAGGGAGTCAGAGATCTGCTGGGCACCACCCAGTTCATGTCACAGGCCTCCTTCATCCCCACACCTGTGGAAACCAGCCAGGTAAGCTATCAGGAGTAGACCAGGGTGGTGATTACTGTTTAACTTTTAGATTCAGATTCATAATTTTTCCCGTTTCCTCAGATTGTGATGCCACCTCATTTGGAGAAGGTTCGGGACAAGCTGGCTGAGAACATTCATGAACTGTGGGGCATGAATAAGATTGAGCTGGGCTGGTCGTACGGCAAGGTGAGAAATATGCAGATTGTCCCTTTACTTTTATAATTCTCTTACAACAAGATCATCACTCTGGAGCAAAATATAAAAAAAAAAAAAAAAGCATAATCCATGCGTTTTTTACCATGTTTGTGGAGTAATAGACATCACAATTACACATTTCTAAACAAATTTAAGTTAAAAACCAGCTTGAAATGCATTAGTCGTTGCTAGTGTTAGAATTTAACCATCAAAAAAGCCTGTACGTCATCTTGCTTTCTCTTTTATAATTTGCGGTTCACACCAAAAAGAGGGTAAGTGGAAAGAACACTCATTTTCCATGTTCGATGCTTTTCATACCACTCATTTAGATACCTCATTCCAGTTTGTTTGTAGGTAGCAGAGTCATTGTGTTTGTGTTTTAGAATACAGTAAGTCATGAATTACAAAGTATTGTTTCACCCAAGGGCAGAACAGGATGTTTTGGCAATTTCAGTGCAGCAATAAACCAAGAGGAAAGCCTGTGTTTTAAGTGTGTGTCTCTAGTTTTTCCTCTCCCATTGAGAAGTCAATGGGGTGTCTAACTGATTCTTTAAAGACGTAATCCACCATCAAACTGTAAACCCAAAGGTTACGCCACCATCGAAATTCAAAACACAGGACAAGAGTCTGCTGTCACTCTGGAACGGATTGATTTCTTGGCTGGGCTCAGTAACTATCACTCTGTGCACAAACTACAGAGCTACAGGCAGCAGATGGTTAGCTTAGCTTAGCTTAGCAGAGGGAAACAGCTAGCATGGCTCTGTCCAATGTTCAAAAGGCTGCAAGAAACCAAAACCCCAGGAAGTTTCAGTTTGTTTAGAGATCAAAGTATGTAAACTAGTAAGCCTCAGAGGTGTTTGTTGTTTTTTTTTTTTTATTTTTTTTTTTTTACTTTGGACAGAGCCAGGCTAGCTGCTTCTCCCACTTTCAGTCTTTATGCTAAGTTACGCTAATCGTCTCCTGGCTCCAGCTGACAGACGTGAGGGTGGTGTTCATTTTCTCATCCAGCTAGTAGTGTATTTCCCGATATAATCTTATATTGTCTTACGTGCAATTTATAAAGGGAAAAATAAGAATAATTTGTCCTTTTCGTCGTCAAAGTACTCAGCGATGACTTTCTTGGTTTATTGTTTATTAGCTAAAGGATAAAGCCAAGTGACCTGTTTTGCCCATAAACGAACAGATATCAACACAAACAAGAACAAGGAACACAGCTCTTATGTCTATAATACAAACATATATATGAGAATCCTCCCTCTATAACTAATACTGCCAGCTTTTATACAGGCCTTCTCTTTGGCCAGCACAACAGCAGGATCCTTAATTTAGAATGAAGATATCTGTAAAGTGTTAGACCTGTTTAATAAATTGAAATCTGAATATTAACTTTTATTGTCAAGACGTTTTCTATACTGAAGCCGAGGGGTCAGAGCACTAACAATGTGTCAAACAGTTGTAAAACTTGTCAAGAGCTCGCCAAGATGCACATAGTAATAGATTTAAAGTGGATGTGGTTCCTCTGCAGCTCATTCGGGTGCTCTGTAGCTGTCGTGTATTGTGTTTAATTACAGCAGCATTCACAGAAGATGTCCTACGGTAGAGGGAACAAACAAAGTATTGTCTGTTATTTAGTCCTGGTTGCATATAAATACCTTTTTCATTTGTTGTTTGTTCCACAAATATAATTCTGCAAGAGGAAGAACTGCCAGAGAAGAGATTTCCCATTGAGTTCTTGTACTATTCACAAAAGAGCTGGCTGGTGTTCATTGGACCCACACACACAGCTGCATATCTGTACATAGCCCTGCATGTTTTCTTGGTAAACATCCACCATTGCCATGCCGCCTCCTCTGCGCAGCATTGCCAAGGGATTATTTGGCATAAAGTGCAGCCTCGAGAGAGGCATTACACCTCTCACTTGGTATTCCAGTTGTGCACCTTTCTATCTGCTCCAAGAAAACATGCTCCCTCGTTCCTCTTTCATAACATGTTCACTAGAGTAGACTGTCTTATCACTGCAACCAGTAGCACCCTGTATTCCCGTTCCCTTGTTAGTTCACAGTGACACAGTGACTTACAAGGCTGTGAGTTTCATATGCATATATTTAGTAAACTTTCCCACATGGTGTACATACATATGGAGCTATTGAAGATGCAATGCTGAAGGCTACAGAGGAAAGTTGAAATATTATTTCTGTGTTTTTTCTTTTTCTCACAGATAAGGGATGATAATAAGCGGCAGCATCCATGCCTGGTGGATTTCTCCAAGCTGCCAGAAACAGAAAAGAACTACAATCTGCAGATGTCAACAGAAACTCTGAAGTATGTTGAGCTTTATGGATTGATTTTCTCCTCGCTCCTTACTGTTGTGTTTGAAGAGAAGAAGAAAGAGAGTGTGGGAAGGAGTCAAATACAGAGGCAGACAGATTAATTACAGACAAGTTGTTTTGTTTGATTTAAACTGTTATTGATGAGCATTGTTTAGAAGCATCATATACATGACTAGAGGTAGATATAAACCTTAGTTGAAAATAGGTCAGTCAGCTCTTATGGAATATATTATTATGTCAGTGTAGAATATATACAGTGTTGATGTTTGATGTCCAACAGCGGTAGCGGCAGTGACAGCTTACGGTTGCTTTCAGTGTGGCAGCAGATATGCAGCACAGTGTGAGCAGAGCGTCTCTCTAACTCCACTGCCATGATTAAAAGGGTGCGTTGGATATACTGTATGTTGCAGTGAGGGGAGCGCGTCACATGAGTGTAGCAGCAGACTTAATTTTGCTGCCTGATGTAGCTTACAGGTTCATTTTTTATTTACACATGAGTAAACATTATTATGTGTAACCACTGTTTGTTTAATACAGTAATATTGAAATAAATTAAGTAGCTTATCTAATTTCAGTGTGACAGTATACCCCAGTCGAACATAGAGACTATTTGCTGTGAAATTCACCAGAGGAGTCGTTAATGGGCAGCTGAGGTTGTTGCTGAGCCAATAGAGTAATTATTATTTAACATTTATGCCTCCACATGTATATACTTCGTGTCTGCTTGGTCATTATTATTATTCAGTGTGTACTAATTATAATATACCACACACCGCACAAGATGATTTTGATGTGATGTGGATGTTCTCCTCCCCCCGTTTGGGAGTATGTATCTCTCATTACTCACAAAAACCTTGTAATGATTGTATCAAGACGCACCTGTAGGTGTAGAGCACAGTATAGAGCATCCTTTTTATTTTGACCAACTGGAAGAGTCATGGACAAATTGATTGACAAAGAAAACACTTTTGGAGGGGTTAGATTATATTTTCTTTAAGACAACAATATAATGTAGGTTCCTTACTTGAAGTTTAGGATATTCCCATTTTCACTGTTGCACCACTAAACAAAGTCTTACTCATAGTGTGTGATCCTTTTCCGCTTGTCAGCGCTCTACACAACATTTGGTTCTGCCCATAACAGTCCCAGTGAGACCTATTATAAGCGCTCTACATAAATGCTCTTTAAATGGTAAAGGAGAACGTTGAGGTTTGCTGCAATTAATCTTGATCTGCAGCAGTGGAAGATGCATCTGATGATGGGTTTCTGAGTGACATCAAACTCATTTTTACTGTCACTTTGTCCTCTCACAAGGTGTGAGGAAAATTTGTCAAAAGCGCTCCTCACCCAGCACATTTCCTCTGGGTGTTCTTTGGCCCTTTCTCTCCTGACAGATTAGGACATGCACAATTTCACCTATCACTGCTCCGTCTGAACACTCCCAACCACTCTATTGCTACTGTTGGATCCACATGTGCTGTCATATCAAAAGTAAGTAAGTTCTGAACTGTATGTTGTTTTTCCCTCCGCAGGACCCTGCTGGCATTGGGCTGTCGTGTAGTTCACGTGAATCCAAATGCTGAGGACTCCCTCAAGAAGATAAAACTCCCTAAGAAGTAAGAGTGCATTTTTTTATTTACTGTATACATTTCATCAGAATGCATATTTCTTATCTAAACGTAACCCAGTTCAGACTGTTAGAGATATAGTGAGGCATTATAATTTTACAAAATATTTAAAAGAAACAGTAGTTGTAGATTTATATTTTAACCATCAGTTGAAATATATAATACACCAAGCGATCTACAAATCAAAAGGTGTGTAAACCCAGTTAATGATCATCTGAAAATGTCCAGAAATATGAGAAAAGAGTTTTAAAAAAATGACTGTTAACATACTATATGTTCTGCTTTACACATTTATATCAGGCTATAAATGTGGGTAAACTTGTCCTGGTGGATTTACCCTGTATTACAGCCATAACTGAGGGAAAATTATCTTTTTCTTTCCTATAGCTACATGATGTCCAATGGCTATAAGCCATCTCCGCTGGACCTGTCTGACATAAAACTGACTCCGGGTCAGGAGCTGCTGGTGGACAAACTGGCAGAGAATGCGCACAATGTGTGGGCCAAGGACCGTATCAAACAGGGATGGACCTACGGCATCCAGCAGGTACGCTGGTGTGTTCATGTACAGTATGTTGAGACCAAAACTATCATTTTGGTGAAAAAAATCTCACCCTAAAAAAATATAATCAAGAAAACAAGTCTATTTTCTTAATATAATAATTAAAGACAAAGGGGCAAAGTTTTTATTCTTTCGTCTATCTTTATAATGTACTCAGTTTCTCCCTCATGATTCATTAATTTACCTCCCACGCGGTCTATACCAGTGCACATGTCAGTTTGTTTAGTCTGACATTTCCAAAGCTATAAGTCATCATTCAAGTCACAGTGAGATACTCTACAGTAAAGGGCAACAAGCCCCAAAACATATTATGCAGAACATATTGGATACAGCGTGTCCCCTCTCATCTGTTGACCAAACAAAAGCTAAAACTGTATAAACTGTGTATAGCTAGTCACCCCGGTATTGGGTGTATTTTTGCTACTGTCGCCCATGAAATTGGATATGACAGATTTTCCTGGAATGATAAATATTCCACTGCTTCACCCCCATTAATTTTTCATTTCAGTATGAAATAGATGTTTTAAAAACTAAACAAGTTTATGGCACCATTTTTGAAAGCAGTTCCTACTGTAGTTGTTGTTGGGGGTTGTTGGGGGGTTGTTTACTTAAAAGCCTTCATTTACATCTACATAGATAAAGAAATGAATATTGCACAATATCACCAAGTACAATCACTCTTTCTACATGTAGTGAGTAAAGTCTCATTCATTTTGCCCCATTTTAGAAATAATGTGGGAAAAAAAGAGACTGTCTATTTGAATGCTGGTCCCTGAGAGCAAGAGAAAGCTCATTTTTCCATTTGTACGTTCTGTGAAACCAGTAGGTTACACCCACTGATATCCACTTCAGTTTGCACAGTTTAACTCAATATCCAGATTTCTTAAGACAACGCACCTACATTATAGTTTATGTTAACACTTGGTTTGACCTTTTAACTCTCAGTATAGTTTGCTAATTAAACTTAATTGACTTTTTGTCCGTGTCCTCTTTACAGTTTGTAGATCCAGGGTCATGGTTGACAACACAAGACCAAACAACTGACCAGCGCTTTGGAAACAATGTCACATGGTTTTCAGTTAAACCCTTTAGTAATGGGAAAGCTGTTATGCCAGATAAAACAAACAGCCTGCGATCTTAATAAGCAAAGCGGGATTTCAAATGAACTGCTAGTAGTATTTATATAATACCTCCATGTTTTCACCCTGGCCCCCAGTGGGAGTTCTGTGAAACGGGAAATGACACAGGAAACATAGAGGAATGTAATGAGCAGCAGTAGCCCTTTGGCAATAAATGGCCAATTAATGTCTCAATCACTGGGATTGACTGCACTGTCATAGCAAACACAGTTGTACTACTGAGCTGGCTCTCTTGAGTCACAATTGATGAACTACACAGCGATAGTTGAGGGGGTTGGGGCTTGGTGCGTAAAATCGTCTCGAAACTGCATCCTCTCCCTGCAGGATCTGAAGAGTAAGCGCAACCCTCGCCTGGTTCCTTATGTTCTGCTGGATGAGCGCACCAAGAAGTCGAACAGGGACAGCCTCCGGGAGGCTATCCGCACCCTGATTGGCTATGGATACAACATTGAGCCCTCGGACCAAGAAGGCGGTGAGTTTAACTCATCCATTATCCGTTTCCTTATTTGTTGGGTCCTGATGCTTCCAGAAGCAGCAATCTACAATCTGACTCCGTGGCCATTCTCCCCACCGCCCTGCAGGACAAGTGGCTGAGCGGCTCAGCATCGACAAGATCCGCTTCTTCAGAGTAGAGAGGACGTACTCGGTGAAGACCGGGAAATGGTACTTTGAATTTGAGTCTGTGACGGGAGGAGACATGAGAGTGGGCTGGGCCAGGCCTGGATGTAAGCCAGATGTGGAACTTGGCACAGATGAGCTGGCTTTCGTCTTCGATGGATACAGGGTAAGGGGGGGGGGGGGTTTGCAGGGTTGTTGAATCAAGTGTCATTTTCTTTATACTATCAAACTGACTTGTCTTATTCCTTTATTTAAATATTTAAATCACTTCATGTAACAGATGAAACTGAAATGAGTGGCTTCAAGGAAAGTAACTGGAGTTGAGAGTAAAAAATTTAGATATAATGACGTGTTATGTCGGCCAGTTTTTGTAGTCCATATGCTATAATCTATTTCTGAGTGTTTTCCGTGTGTCTGTTATGTACATAGGGCCATTGTCTGAACATGGGCAGCCGTTTGTTCGGGCGGTGCTGGCATGCTGGGGACGTGGTGGGCTGTATGATCAACATGGAAGACAAGTCCATGATCTTCACCCTTAATGGAGAGATCCTCATCACCACCAAGGGCTCGGAACTCTGCTTCACCGACTTTGAAACTGAGGATGGTGAGAAAGTGTGTGTGTGTGTGTGTGTGAATGTGGATATGATGCGTGTGGTTACAGAGCCAGATACAGAAGCTGAAGGTCAGGGAATGTCTGACTGATAAGGTGATTGGAGAAAGAGTTGTTGGTTGTATGTCCTCGACCTCGTCCACTCATCTTTTAATAAAGCCCTCACATGCAGAGCAGAGGGCATTAACCTGGAATGACCATGCTGGGCATATAAGTGAAAAATAAGTGGCTCCCTGTAACGAAATCACCCTTATTTAATGTGACACTTGTAAATTGCCTTTTTGCAAAAGCTGGATTGATTTTCCCTCCCCTCCTGCTGTCTGTGTTCTTAGAGGCTTTTTGCTCTCTCTTTTCTCTCTCCCTCTCCTCTTCCCTCCTTTATTACCTCTGGCTGTCCTTCAGGATTCATCCCAGTGTGCAGTCTCGGCCTGTCTCAGGTGGGTCGGATGAATCTGGGGAAAGATGCGAGCACCTTCAAGTACTACACCATGTGCGGCCTTCAGGAAGGGTTTGAGCCCTTCGCTGTCAACATGAACAGAGAGGTCACCATGTGGTTCAGCAAGCGTCTGCCTACTTTTGTCAACGTGCCGAAGGACCACAACCACATCGCAGTAAGAACAGCAGCGGAGAAATACTCATTCCTTACAGTGGCGAAATTGGTGCTTGGATGAACACGAAGACTTTCTCAACTCTTTTCAGGTGACCAGGATTGACGGCACCATCGACAGCCCCCCGTGTCTTAAAGTGACCCATAAGACGTTTGGCACCCAGAACAGTAACGCCGACATGGTGTTTTGCCGTCTCAGCATGCCTGTGGAGTTCCACTCCTTCTTCAAGTCCTGTCCAGTTGTGGACATGAACGGAGTGCATGAGGAAGACACCCTTAAAGTCAAACACAGGTGCTCACCTCCCCAGAATCATGAAGTGAAGCCACACTGCAAGCAACTCTGAGCTGCTTTTTTTTTGCGTGTGTTTTACAATGTATATTTTGTAATATCCATCATGTAGATGCAGTTGAAAAGTATTGTTTATAACAATCACTTGCTAATTCTGGTTTCTGATGCCATTTATAATGTTCTTAAAAGGTACCCATTGAGATCTGTGAGGCACAGTGATGAAAGCAGACGGGTGGACTACAGCAGCATCACTTCGGTACTGACTCATTTTTCTTGTTGTTGTTGCTAGAGTTCATTGTGGTTACTCACTGTGTTGGCTAACTCTGCTATGTGTCATTACAGTACTATCATTCAGTGAGGGTTTTCGCGGGTCAGGACCCTGCCGGCGTGTGGGTTGGATGGGTTACCCCCGACTACCATTACCATAGCAACAATTTCAACCTCAGCAAAAACAGAACGGTGACTGTAACCCTGGGCGATGAGCGAGGACGAGTCCACGAGAGGTGAGACTGTGTCTGGGAAAACTTTTTGTTTGAAGGAAATCCAGTATTGTGTGTTCATCTTGTGTCTGCTCAACCATAACATATGAGAAAGACGTGATTGATGACTTATATTTACATTCTGGTAGTGTGAAGAGGAGTAACTGCTACATGGTGTGGGGTGGTGACGTGACCAACGCTGCTCACACCTCCAGTCGCAGCAACGTGGACTTGGAGATTGGCTGTCTGATAGACCTGGCCACCGGCCTGGTGACATTCACTGTCAATGGCAAAGAGATATCCACCTCTTACCAGGTAATGAATTCACATATTGTACCAAGTAAAGGAATAAACCAGGCAAAATCTGACTATGTGTAGCTAAATATAGCTCACGTTAGGGCTGAACGATATGCAAAAGAAATTATATTGCAACTATTTTGACAGATATTGCGATAGGAGTCATGATTACAGTGGGAATGGGAATTTTTTCATCAAATTTTCACAGAAAAAAATAAAAATGATGATGAAGTTGTGATTTTGGCTGGGGTGTATACCAAACAAGCATGTTCCTTTCCATCTGGAGAATATAATTTGTAGGCCGGGACGTCTCTATAGCACTCCAATGCTTCATTTATGGTACGTTGTGACACATTTTACCTTTATCAAAAAATCGGACCTCCTGCAATATGGATATTGCACTTGGCCATATTGCGATTTCAAATATATTTTGATTAATAGTGCAGCCCTAGTTCATATGAAGGTTCACATGTTTTAGAAGACAACATTGCACTAATGGGAAATACTGTAGTCATAAAGCCCAATTATGTTTAGTTAACAGTTCAGTGCATATTTATGTCAGTAACTCTGTAAAACTCTACGAATGAACATGTAGTAGACTTCAAATTAGATGTTTAAATACTTTTTCATATCTTGAATTAATTTCAGGGAGTTTTTAGTTTGTAACAGTAATAATCACGTTGTAAGGACTTGTAGAATATGCAGATGTACTTTTAAGCTTGCTTGTGATTTTGCCACTTCGCCGTTCTTTAGTACCTCCTACCATCTGTTCATTTACTGTACACTTCCATCTGCCCATAAGTCATATCACAACCAGTACCTGTCTAACTGCCCATCCGCTCTGCTGTGTATCAGTTCATCTGCAGTTTATTCTGTTGACCTTGAGAACAAGTCATCTTCCGTCTTTTCCCAAACAGAGCAGTGACGTCTGTATTGTTGAATTCCAGACTTTGAATTTGCCTGTTCAGATGTACTCTGTGAACTAAATCTTAAAGAACCTTTCGGAGGGTATAATCTTCTTATGTTCCCCCTCACTGAAATACTGTGAGTCTTCACCCAGTGCTGAGTCATCTCGCCTTGAAAGATCATGGGCACGCAAGCACACACACACACACACACTCTCTCTCTCTCTCTCTCTCTCTCTCTCTCTCTCTCTCTCTCTCTCTCTCTCTCTCTCTCTCTCTCTCTCTCTCTCTCTCTCTCTCTCTCTCTCTCTCTCTCTCTCTCTCTCTCTCTCTCTCTCGCTCTCTCTCTAAGTAGTGGGGTTTCATGATGCACCATTAAGCTGCTTTCCACAAGTCATGCTCGCTCGCTCCTGCTCAAGCTTTTGATGTGTTGTGCTTCCTGTTTGGACTTTTTATCAACTTGCTGCTCTTTTTTTTTTCCCTGATCCAGGTGGAACCGAACACCAAGCTCTTCCCTGCTGTGTTTGTGCGACCCACCAGCCCGAACCTCTTCCAGTTTGAGCTGGCTAAAATAAAGGTAGTCCCCTAACGGTTCCATTACAGCAGCCTTGTTGCATACATGATGTCTCTAGCACTGTCTGACTGACTGAAAAATGTCTTTGTACAGCTCAAAATGACTTTTCCAGATTAGAAAAGAAGCGTGTCTGTGAGTATGAATACTCAGAGCTTTTTCATCACTCCACTCGCCCATGTTTGCTTGCCCTCTCCAGAACGCCATGCCACTGTCGTCAGCCATCTTTAAGAGTGAACATAAGAACCCGGTGCCACAGTGTCCGCCGCGTCTAGACGTCCAGACCATCAATGCAGTGCTGTGGAGCCGCATGCCCAACACCTTTCTGAAGGTGGAAACAGCCAGGGTCAATGACAGACACGGCTGGGTGGTGCAGTGCGTGGAGCCCCTGCAGATGTTGGCTGTACACATACCTGAGGAGAACAGGTATGAACAAGAGCACACATACAGCTGAAATGATGGGTCCATTAGCTGAGCCACATCAACAGCTGTTATTCATTACATAAAAACTGGTGGAGGGTGAAGTCTTTTTTTTTTCTGTTTTACATCATTGTAAAGTGAATATTTTGGAAAGTGGACTATTTCCTGATATTAAATATTAAATATATGATTCATTGATTAATCAAAAGACACTAAAGAGATTATAAAGGACTGAAAAAAATAATGACACACCAGTATGGTTTGGTCTATTGTGCTTGCAATGTGAGATACATTGTCATACACAAAACTAAACATACTTAAAATGGTTTTCTGTGGTTTGGGCTGTTGAAAAATTGAAAATGCTTGTTGCAGCATGTGTAACTATCATGTCAGGCCTCAGTAGGCTCCATCATAACCATTAAAATGTATTTTGAAACACTGTCTTTTAAACACTGTCGAAAAAACCAACTGGACTTGATTATTTATATAATCAAGTCCAGTTGGTTTTTTAGGATACTATGACCTGGACAAATGAGAATATGCACAGGCTGACTGTCTTCCTTCCTTCCAAAGATGTGTCGACATCATGGAGCTGTCTGAACAGGAGGACATGAGGAAGTTCCATTACCACACCCTGAAGCTCTACTGCGCCCTCTGCGCTCTGGGCAACACCCGTGTGGCCCACGCCCTCTGCAGCCACCTCGACCAATCCCAGCTCTTATACACCATCGACAATCAGTACCTGTCGGGCATGTTACGCGAGGGCTTCTACAACGTTCTGATCAGCATCCACCTGGAGACTGCCAAGGAGGCACGGCTCATGATGAAAGACGAGTTCATCATCCCCGTCACGGCCGAGACACGCTCCATCCGTCTCTTTAACGACGCTTCCAAAAAGCACCTCCCGCCAGGGGTGGGGCTCAGCACCTCCCTCAAACCACGCCTCAACTTTGCTCCGCTCTGTTTCATCAGCAACAAACGGGAGCAATATCTGTACAGTCCCCAAATCCCGCTGGATTCACTGAAGGAGAAAGCGATTTTGATGTTGACGGAAGCCGTTCAAGGTGGAGGGCACCACATCCGAGATCCTGTGGGAGGAGGTGTGGAGTACCAGTTTGTGCCGATCCTGAAGCTCATCAGCACCTTGCTGACTATGGGTGTATTAGGGAGTGAGGATGTTCACAAGATCCTACTGCTCATCGACCCGAATGTGTTCAGAGAAACACACGAGGAGGGGGCTGCAGGGGCCACAGACAAAGAAGGACTCACAGGGACAGAGGAGAAGGCAGTGGAAGCTGGAGAAGAGGAGGCAGCGAAAGAGGCTAAACAGCCAATGAAAGGACTGCTGGAGAAGAGGCTGCCGGAGCCTGTGAAACGACAGGTAATAATGAACACACATGAGCAGATCCCGCATTACCTTAAATGTGTTAAACCTTAATATAAACCACTCAGGGCAAATCACCAAAGCATGTAAAATAAATGAACATCTTCATCTACAAGTGGCAATTCACTCACTAAAGACTAACACAGCTGTGCTCTCAATCACATGCTCCATAACAGCTCCACTGTAATAGACCCATTCAGAAGTCAGTCACACATGAAACGGCTTCGTCTTCGTGTTGAACAAATGATCTCTTGGGTAAAAATGTCTCTTTAATAAATGACATAATGTGAAGCCATAAGGCTGTTTGTATGTATTCCCTAACAGACTTGCCCGTAACAGCTGCAGCTAGGCGTGCAACAGTGATGCAACAGCGTTTGCAACTGTGTTTGTCTCCTCCCCTTGTCTGCTCTCCAGATGTGCGAGCTGCTCCACTATTTCTGCGACTGTGAGCTGAAGCACCGCATCGAGGCCATCGTGTCGTTCTCCGACAACTTCGTCTCCAAGCTGCAGTACAACCAGAAGTTCCGCTACAATGAGTTGATGCTGGCCCTCAACATGTCTGCCGCTGTAACGGCAAAGAAGACCAAAGAGTTCAGATCGCCTCCTCAAGAACAGGTGAGATGAGAGTCACCGCTTTGAAGGATGCAAAGATGGTTGGAAACAGTGATGTACGTGAGTTTCAGGTCACCATCTGCTCTGTGGTTCCCAGAGTGGGAAATGCAAGATTTGATAAAATTTTTTTCACTGTACATTTACTATGAATTTTTCCCCACATCAAAAATCCAGCCGACATTTACATTAACTACATTTTCCCATTTCGGAAAGGGGTCTCAGATTTATGGACCCCTACTGTATTATATAATCTGTTTTCATACATGCATGCAACGTATAAAAAAGGGAAGAAATAAGAAATAAACATAAAAGCCTCCATATAAGTAAAGCAAAGCAAATCAGTGCATGATGATGCCATGTGTGTCCTTTGGCCTTGAATACATCACATGGAGGGGTTCGTAATCAAAATCACTGTTTACAAACCACTGATCTATTCTAAGCTGACAACACTGCACAAACGTCACAAGCGTCATGGCATCTGTACTCTGTGAAGAAACCCTCATCATTCACTCTCCTGTGTGTAATAATAATATCTGCTGCTCCTGACTGGGGGGGAGGTTGTGTGTGTGTGTGTGTGTATGTGTGTGTGTGTGTGTGTGTGTGTGTGTGTGTGTGTGTGTGTGTGTGTGTGTGTGTGAGGTAACACCACTTTTCACCCACTCACTGCTCCATTGTGACATCTTTACCATGGTAAAGTTAAAGTGGCACCTGCGTTCATGTGATTCTCACAACTCTCACATCTGACATGAGACCTTGTCGACACCCATGTGATACGAAGGTGCAAATCGGCCACAGAAGGTAAATGGAACCAGGAGCTGTGCGACATCGTCAACCCATGAATCTTACAGTGAAGTCCACATGAATCTAAAATAACTAACCACAAAGAAAAGCCTCTGGGCTCACTGCTTCAAATGATGCATGTAACTAGATAATTCATTACATCACTTCTGTAATTTTCCACATACATGGTTAATTTCTTCCCACATCCTTAGATTACATTTTGGTTTTTGTGTGCTGAGCTACATAATTCTGCCTCAAGAATGAGAGCTGGTACTTGCCCCAAATGTTCCTGAAAACACTCTCCCTGTGTGTGTGTGTGTGTGTGTGTGTGTGTGTGTGTGTGTGTGTGTGTGTGTGTGTGTGTGTACGTGCATGTGCGTGTGTGCATGTGTGTGCATTGAAGAAAGCCTCAAGGCGAATTCATCGTTCTTGTCTGTAGTGTCATCGCTCCAGTGAGGGTGCACACTCAACTGCATGCACACGCTCACATAAAGTACAGTATCCCTTTAGGCTCACAGCTGGGGATAGAGTAGCTTCACAGCCACTTTAATGACTTGTCCTTCACTGAGGGAGAACCAGCTGCTTAAGCTGTTTTTTGTTTTTTCTTCTTCTTCCTGTGAATCCTACAGTGAGATCACATCATGTTCAGGTTGATGTTCATACAGTTGTCCGAATACACACGTGTTCATTTTATTTTTTTTTTTAGATCAACATGCTGCTGACCTTCAGTATGGGCGAGGATTGTCCGTGTCCGACGGACATCCAGGAGGAACTCTACATTTTTCACAACCAGCTGCAGCTCCACTGTGGTGAGATGCCGAGCTTGCAAAGTCTTTATGAGCTGCTTTATTGGTTATCTTTATCATGAAACATGCATTTTTGTATTCCTCATGATACATTATTCTTACATCGCTCCGATTGATTTCAGAATTTCTCGCAAACATTTAAAGACAGAAAAATATGGAACATATTTATACAGCAGTTGTGCATTTTTTGCTGCTGTTGTGTCAACATCAGCTGAACTGTGCCAGCGCTTGCACTCAGAAATGCTTTCTTTTTCCCTCTCCACGTCTCTCTGTCTCCTGGCAGAGGAGTTATAGTTCAGTGCCTCTCAATGTTTTGATAAATAATTGAACCGCCCAACCCTCCATGGTACTACCAATCTAATGGCAGTTTCAGCTGTGCCGCATAGCACCGACCTGTCAGGCACCCTCCACACGGAGAACAATAAAAAAATAAAATAAAATAAAAAAAAAAACCAACTTGAAATTGCCACGAAATAGGAGATTCTGTAAATCCCATACGATGCATCACACACATGACATGACTAACCCCACAGGAAGCTGAGCTCGGCAGAGATATTGCTTTAATATGCTCCATGTATATGGTGTGTCTATCTGTTTGTGCTGCGTAGGAATCCCTATGGAGGAAGACGAAGACGAGCAAGACACATCTATCAAAGGTCGCCTCCTAATGCTGGTGAGCAAGATCAAAGGCCAGTCTCACAAAGCAGAGGAGCCCACAGAGAAGGAGCAGGCCGCACCATGTGAGCAAATCTGTTTTTTATTATAGTACTTCAATTATCCCAAAATGCCCTCTGTGTCATTATCCCTGAACATGGGTGAAAATCTCCTTTGCGATTGGCCTGAAATGACTTACATTTAATCGCTACTCTAAATTTATATTCTAGTCAGAAAACATCAAACCAATCACCGTGGCCTTGTGACCATGACAACACACTGAAACAGCAGCAAGCTGTAAATCTTTGGGAACGGCAAGCGCTGTCTCTTCATAAGCTTTTACTTTACACTCACTCACACACTTGCCCAGAAAAACGTCTCCTTGAGCAAGACATTGAAGTTGTTTAGTTCTGTTACTGTAACTGCTTTTACAGCATTTGTTTTCTTTCCCTCCCACGAAAGCACAAGCTCTGAACTTGCTTTATCCATTTAAAACCCAGTCCATTCCGCTTGTTTACTGTCTCTCACCTCCTTTTCCTGAGAGCCCTGAAGGGGAGAATAGCAAACCTCAGTCTTACCTCAATCTGTCTGCCGGTGTCATGTGGACCGAGTCACCGGGTGGCAGTCATTTCCATTTCAATTTCTTTTCAATTTCATTATGGTAATATGGAGCCGGGTGGAGAAGAGGCTCCAGAGTGAAGATCTCCCGTCAGCTGCTCTGGGAGACGAGAGAGGAGAGATGAGAGAAAAAAAAACAAAAAAACATGGGTGATAAAACCAAATCTTTCACCTGATTAAGTCCATAGACACGGATGTACATGCACAGGAAAAACTACACACACACACACACACGGGAACAAGAACCGTTTCAATCACAGCGCACAATAACCGCGGCGCCACAAAGGTATAAATGCAGAACAAGTTGTATCTAATTTTCCATCTCAAGTACCACTGTATGTAAGGGACTACCAATCAAGTCGCTGACTGCAAATTATTACTTACCAGCTAAAAAAGACACTCCACCTTGTTCTGTTGGCCTTCAAAGTAGAAAGCAGTGTTTTAATTTGAAACTGCTACTTAAAATGTTTCCAGTTTTATTTATTAGCGTATGTCTCCATTTATGGCAGGAATTTTTCCCTTTATATATGACCTTTCCTGAAAATTACACTGTCCAGGCAATAAAACAAGACATGTGTGTCTGCCTTTTATTGCTTAGATAGAGACTAACCAATGTGAAACAGGGTGTTTTATTGCTTCTGTAAACCCTGCTGAGAAATCTCGCCACCGCCATGCCATCACCGTCTATTCTCGAAAAGCGACGCAGGAAACGAGAAGTGGCCAAATTGCAGACGGATAAATCGGGGCTGAAATATGTGTTGCAGACTGCAGACGCTTGAAAGGCGATCTCTCCGCTGGGATTTGGTTGTGACCCTGATGTGGAGCGTACAAGACTGCTGCACCGATCTCCGAGGAGCAAGGCGGGATGAAAATAGAGGAGTGTGTGTTTTATTCTTAAAAGAGTGCTTTGGGTGGTGGCGTCGGTCGCCCCTGCAGGGTGTTGTGTAAGGGCTGATTGATCAGAGGACTGGTTTGTGGTGGCAGCTGCAGTTCACGAGCATCACTTCTACTTCTGTCACAAGCTGGAGGCGTCAGAAAGCGAGGGAAAGGAATGGAGGAATAGAGTGAGAGAATAAAATCACATGCAGGCAAATTTTCTCGTTCGCTTAAATGAATCTTTGCATAATTTTCTGATTGTTGACTCAGATTTTTGGACCCCACTCTATCTCTTTTTTTGGCATTGTGCCTGTATTTGATGAGAGAGGCAGGAAACAAAGGCAGATATATATAGAGAGAGGGGTAAGGCAGGCAACAAGGGTCCCACAGGTGGGAATCAAACCATGGACATTGCAGTCATGTAGTACACAACTTTTTTTGGGGGGCTTTTTCATGCCTTTATTAGAGTAGCAGTGAGAGAGAGACGGGAAGGTTGGGGGGAGGGGAGAGAGGGGATGACACGCAGCATAGAGCCGTAGGTCGGACTCGAACCCAGGCCGCTGTGGTAAGGACAGAGTCCTAATGGTACGCGCTCCACCAGGTGAGCCGGCCGAGGCGCCCCCATGTGGTACGCACCTTAACCCTTAGTTCACTGGACCCCCACCCCCCACCCCTGTTAGCAAACGAGTGGGTAGAAGAAGACAGCTAACAAGCAAACATGAATGACTGAACATGAATGATCTAAAACACTATTCAGCTTTAAAGTCAAGTCAAGCTTTGATTCTTTATAAGAAAACTCCACCTGATATATCTGATGGAGTTTTTTTTGTTGTTGTTGTACTTTGTTTGGAATTGGTTGTATTTTCCGTCTCTCAGGTGCAATATGTCAGAAGTGTATGTGACAGCGGGTATGTATTTTGAAAACCGAAATAAAAATCTTATATAAGAAGAGGATCTGCCAGGAGCCAGGAGGACGGCTGGAGTGAAGACGACGTGATATATTCTGAGCTGTTGCTCCAGCTATAACTTCTCCTCCTCCCGTCACATCACGCTGCCCTGCGAGACCCTGAAGATACAGAAGGCGCCGTCGTCTTTGCCATTATTTTACGGGGATGAAGTAAAAGGAGCGCCAGAGTCATTTTCCTCATCTGATGAATGGTTTATCCACCAGAAGCATTTAATGCTCAGACATGATGACTCCCCTTGATATGTGTGTGTGTGTGTGTGTGTGTGTGTGTGGGTGAGAGAGAGAGAGAGAGAGAGAGAGGGCGAGAGAGCAAAGGGATTGTGTATGTACACTCAAACCATAGAAACCGCTGGTTTCTTTCAGTGTAACTCTAGACAGGTCAGATTTGTTTGTTGGGGATGTAGGGCGGAGGGAAGGTGGGGGTGGGGGTGGAGGGGTCTATTCAAGAGCAAAACAGACCGACAGAGACAGAAACAGAAACAGACAGAGGGGGGAACGGGAGAGCGTGTTTGATAGTGTGACAGAATGAGAGTCAGGTGTTGTGAAGCATGTTGGCTGAAGGGAAGAAATGTCGCTTCTCATTTTTGGAACAAGCTGGTGCTTCTGCCCTTTCTCTGACACCCACGCGACTCTCAGCGGCAGGATCGGTTACCGCTGACGGTGACATTCTGCTTGCTCCCCACCCATCACACAAAACATACACCCACCCACCCTTACATTGATTGACAACCTGGTGTCAAATAGTCTTTGGAAAACCTGCAGATCCAATCAGCCCATCAGACACAGGGGCCTTAAAAACACAATCACCTAATTGCAATACTTTTAAGGAAATCAATTGTGTGTAAATTGCTTCATCTTTTATGGTTCTGAGTTGTTTAATTGATGCCTTTCTGTCCTTGGTGTACGCTTACCCCCGCCCCCCATGAGCAGACACAAATATGCTCGCACACCCTCACCCACACACCCTATTGATCCAGTTTTAATGAAGCCTTAAGGCTAACCCACATACGAGCTGTCCAAACAAATGTCTCCACGTCCAACCACAGAAGCAGAATATCTCACTGCACGAAACTATTAATTCACCGTCCACTTCCCTTCCCTTGTTCTTTACGTAACAGGGCTTCCTTCCCGCTCCGGTGGAAAAAATGTCATGAATGAGCTCGCAAACTGTGTTTTCTTTTCCGCAGAATAGAACAAAATAACTCCGACATTGCTGAAACACAGATGCTTACCTCTCCTTTAGGAGGTAGAGGCGGCTGACACACGCCTACAGTCCTGTTTGCCTCGACTGAAGCTACGTGAAACACTTTGAATGAGCTGTGTCTTTTTCTTTTTTTTTGTTTGTTTGTTTTGTTCTGTACTCAAGGTCTTATTTGCATCACTGAGCCAGTTTGGGAATGCAGCCTTTGAATTGCGTCTTTTCTTTTTTTTTTTTCTTAAGTGCTTAAGCATTGGTTGTGTGAAAATGGGACCACCCAGTCGAGTGGAGGCCCTTTTAATAGAGCTTTGTGATTGGGTGTGTATGCTTAAGGAAGAAGTGCCTTAAGGAGGATTGCTGTGTCTTGGTGTGACCTCAGTTAATGGAAGGGAGGTTTCAATGATATGCAGCGAGGATTACAAGACAATGCGGCGAGCACTTCACTGCCAGACCGAGTCTTTCTCTGCCAATTGAAAAGGAAATCTTATCTTATTGTTTAAAATTAGAAAAGCCTGCATTATGTTAACCAATCCCCTTCGTGATTAGTAATCCTATATCCACACACAGCAGCGCTTTCTTTATTTTAATCTGCATGATAAATTTAGGGTAATAATGTAGTTTTGAGGATCTCTGAAAGCGGCCCTGTGTAGGAGGAGACTTTAATATAATATTAACCCCATAACAGACCCCCCTCCCACCATTTTTGTGCACAAGCCTGACAATGATATACCCAAAATAAGAGGGTTATGTTTTCTTCAAGCCTTTGATTACAGTCATAACCCTGGTCCTCTTTGAAAGGTCACTCTTACAACCGAAAAGTCAAAATGAGTACAAGAGATACTGAACCAAAGTTACAGTTTTTTTTGCCCTCACCTTTTTTGGCATCAGCAGTGGTTGCAGTGATATGGGGATCCTGAAATGCTTTGAACAGTTTGAATCAGGAGACTTATAGCTTTCACACAATGTATAATTTGTCAAGGTTGTACGAGGATTGAGTCCGGTACAAACCAAATCTCCCCTGAAGTTGCCCTACCACCACCGAACAACAGGAAGACAAAGTTAGCGACTAGCTGGTGAGCACAGTGGGGCATTTACCAGAACAGAGGATTTTTGTCAGGTGACCAGAGACATGACACTGAAGGAATTCTTGTGTTTCTTCCATGTGTGCTGAATGTTTAAAAAGTGTTTGCTAACTCATTCACCACAGCAACTTTATGAGGCCATCATACGCATCATCCACCGAGACAAATGTTGCTGCTTTAAATATGTTAAATGATAATTCCGATAAGATGCACGATGATAATAATGACTTTCTTTCCAGCCAATCTGAAGGAGCTGATCTCTCAGACCATGGTCAGCTGGGCCCAGGAGTGTCACATCCAGGACCCAGAGCTGGTCCGTAAGATGTTCAGCCTGCTGAGGAGGCAGTATGACAGCATCGGGGAGCTGCTCCGGGCCATGAGGAAGACTTACACCATCAGTGCCGCCTCGGTGCAGGACACCATCAACCTCCTGGCCTCCCTGGGTCAGATCAGATCTCTGCTGTCTGTCCGCATGGGGAAAGAGGAAGAGAAGCTCATGATTGATGGACTTGGGTGGGTCAACTTTTCCTCATTCGCCCAAAAGATACATGGTTTGAAAAAATTGAAACAATGCATATATATCGTCTTGTATTGATCCTTAGTTTTATGCCAATTTGGAGTAAGAAGTTAACGTCCAATATTTCCCTTTTCTCTGTTTTTTTTTTTTCTCCAGCGATATCATGAACAACAAGGTTTTCTACCAGCACCCAAACCTAATGAGGATACTGGGCATGCATGAGACTGTCATGGAGGTCATGGTGAATGTGCTTGGAGGAGACAAATCCCAGGTTTAACAACATCTATCTTTATATTTATCTCTGCTTCCGGAGGCACCCACAGCGCTCACCGCACCCCCTCGCCCAGAAATGATGCCGCTCGCTAATAGGAGCTTGTGCTTTCGGCCCCGTTTTGTGTGTGATCATTTTGTGTGTGAAGTGTGATTGCAGGGTGAATGTGCATTAATGAAGATGTGGTCCCAGTAGGTGGGCTTTCTCCTCAGGCTGGGAGTCTGGGAGTGAGGGCAGAAAGGGCAGAAAGTGGCTGGTTGGCAGCGTGTGAAGGTGTCAGGCCTTCTAGACATTAATTAGGAACCAAGACACGTGGGGGAGTTTATAGTAACAAGCCTGGAGGAAGTCATTACAGTAAACTCGGTACACCTGAAGAAAGCAGCGACCTCTCCAAAACCGCCTGTCATCAAATCACTGTTTGTTAGCAACATGTGGACCTGAAGATAATTTACTATGTCTGTCCACTGTTGGTAAATACATGAGACTGTCTGTCCCGGTTGTGATCTTACTACAATTCTCTTGTTTTAAAATACAACCAGGTCAGATGTTTGACCCTACTTAGTCTGTGTGTGCCACCCTACAGGAAATCGCCTTCCCCAAGATGGTGGCCAGCTGCTGTCGCTTCCTGTGCTACTTCTGCCGGATCAGCCGTCAGAACCAGAAAGCCATGTTCGACCACCTCAGTTACCTGCTGGAGAACAGCAGCGTGGGTCTAGGTGGGTACGGCGTTCTTTGTCTTGGTATCAGCCATGCTGCGTGGCGATTAGCCCGATGACTACTGATGCTGAGCTACTACATCATTTCCCTGGATGAAGAACACACAACCTAATCAGGAATAAAGCGAAACCTACAAAAGTCTGGGGGATGAACTTGAAAATGAGGCTGTGAAATGAAGGGGCGAAACACCTCATATATGTATGAGAGACAAATTCTAAAAACAGTCAGCACTCTCTTTAAAATGGGTCGCATCCTTTTGCCATTTTGCCGTCATAGCACCTCTGAGCTCACACATACATTAGGCTCACACCAGTGTTTGTGTGTGTGTGTGTGTGTGTTTTTGTGTGTGTGTGTGTGTGTGTGTGGGTGTGGGTGTGATTGTGAGTCTGAGCACTGAGAATCTGTCGGCAAAGAGCGCGACTCATCTCCCATTCTGTTAGAAGATGGCGATGCCACAGTCTCAGTGAGCACCCCGCTGGTGCGAGAGAGTGTCTCCCTTGGATGCACACACACATGCTCCCAGTCATAAAGGCAAACACACACACATACACACATACACACACACACACACACACACACACACACACACACACACACACACACACACACACACACACACACGCACTTCACAGATTGCTCATTAACAGGGTGACAAGAAGTTATGTGACAGTATAAACAAAATAAAAATGAAATCTAAGAATAAAATCTTTATTAAAAAGCTTAATGATGACTATAATATTATAGACAATGTGTATAGACACAGTGCTACATAAACTGGTTCCCATAACCCCTCTGAAACCAAATGTGACTACAGTTTCCAGTGAAAATTGGAAGAGGAAACTTTCCTCAAGCACATTAACCAGTCTGTAATAACCGGCTGTTGGCAGATTAGCTGCTAGTGATATTTGGAAGGAGTGGAAACAGCACCCCCTGCTGTTTGTACAGAAACACAGACACAAGCTGGGTGTGTAGAGATATTAGATAAGTAGAGAACAGACAGTGAGCAGGTGCTTTGTATTGCAGCTTCACCGGCTATGAGGGGCTCTACTCCTCTAGATGTGGCTGCTTCCTCAGTGATGGACAACAACGGCCTGGCTCTGGCACTGGAAGAACCTGATCTGGACAAGGTATGGCTTTTTTATTTATTTTTTTGTTGTTGTGAGTTTGAGTTACTGTACAAAGTCAATTGAAATGGTGGGATACACAAGCAAAGCTGTTTCTAAAGGAGGAGATGCCAAAGATAAAAACCACCACAGACGTACAGAGTAGCTAGGATCAATAGTTGAAAGCTGCATATATGTTGGGCTGTATGTGATGTTTTGTATGTGCTGCATCTGCAGGTGGTCACCTACCTGGCAGGATGTGGTCTCCAGAGCTGTCCAATGCTTCTGGCTAAAGGTTATCCAGACATTGGCTGGAACCCCATCGAAGGGGAACGATACCTTTCCTTCTTGCGGTTTGCCGTCTTCGTCAATGGTAGGACTGCATCCCCCATCTTTTCTTTCCCTCGCTTACTCTCTCTTTCTGCTTCCTCTTTTTCTATACCTCTCTCTAAACATGTAGAAAAAACCTAGCAAAGTCCCAACGGACACCTGGATTCAGTTGCTTAAGGCAAAGTTCGCCTGGAGTTTTGCCTCGAGGCTGTGTATTACAGCTAAAGAATGTGTATGTGCTGTGTTTTTCTGCTGACATTAATTATGTATTCCCTTGCTTGGTCTGTATTTACTCACATCCACCTGTGTTATTTGCGCTCTAGGTGAGAGTGTGGAAGAGAACTCCAGCGTTGTGGTGAAGCTGCTCATCCGTCGCCCGGAGTGTTTCGGACCGGCCCTGAGGGGAGAGGGAGGGAACGGCCTGCTGGCTGCCATGAAGGAAGCCATTAAAATCTCCGAGACACCTGCTTTGGACCTGCCGGGCTCCGTCCAGGGAGTCTACTCCGACGTGTAAGCCACAAAGATCAGGCAAAGCTTATCAAATCAATGCGCTTTCCCTCGAGATTAGGTCTTCATCCCCCTTCCCTTGCATATCTGCTATGATGCCCTTCAAAAAAAGTTTCTTCCTCTTTCCTGTTTCTGTTTCTTCCCTTACACTCTCCTTTTTGTTTCTGTCAGGTCTGGTGATGGTGATGACGAAGAGGAGGTGGTTCACATGGGCAATGCCATTATGTCCTTCTATTCTGCGCTCATTGACCTTTTGGGACGTTGTGCCCCAGAGATGCATGTACGTTTGAATTTGTGAGTTTTTAAAATTGCTTTTATTGGACAGATTTTCCTTATTTTCAAGGTTTGTTTTTTTTTTCTTCTTTAGATCATCAACAAGGGGAAAGGTGAAGCTCTGCGTATTCGTGCCATCTTGCGCTCTCTGGTGCCGACTGAGGACCTTGTGGGAATAATCAGCATACCACTCAAAATGCCCATCATCAACAAAGGTACTGGTCAGGATGTTCACTGTAATAACTCACGATACGGCACGCCTGCACTCTTCCATCAGAGGACACATCGTATTCATTTGCATATTACAGCAGAACGTCGACCTCACGTGCAGATACGATGGTTATGAAACTCTGCACATTCAGTGCAAGGCGGAAGGTTATTGATTTCATTTCACCGCTCATGCCCTTTTAATCAGCACAACACTTTACTGCACACTCCCATAGCTCTGAGTAAGCCAGATCATTTCTATAGCGAGCTGTCTTGCTCTATTGATTGATCTGCATAAGCATGGCGAAACTCGCCTCTTAAATTTGCTGCTGTGAGCACCGCCATGCAGGCTCTGTCAGCGGGCCAAGAGGGAAGACAGCGAGCCGTGGCTCCAGCACCAGAAAACTCTTATCCACGCGTCGCTGCACGCTGCCTAATGAATACGCATGACTCCCCTAATCAGAAAAGACTTGCCATAATGTACCGTGGGCTGTTCTCTGGGTATTTCACCGATTCACACCTGCATCAATTACCTGGTTAAAAATGTTGTGCCTTCCCTTCTCTGTCTCAATCTCTCTCAGATGGGTCAATGACAGAGCCGGACATGTCAGCCAGCTTTTGTCCAGACCACAAGGCCCCCATGGTGCTGTTTCTGGACAGGGTGTACGGTATTGAGGACCAGAGCTTTCTGCTTCACCTGCTGGAAGTGGGCTTTCTGCCTGATCTGAGGGCTGCCACCTCTCTGGATACGGTAGGTGAAGCCGACAGCAACACAGGGGAGAAGCTAATGAATGGCCTCTGTCACATGAACTTCATCATGGCATTTCACGATCAATAATATTGGGCATCCTTTTATACTAATGAGGAGCTCCTCATCACCACTGGTTTAAGTTTATGTTCAGGTGATTCATTTAATTGTTCGTTATTCTTATTTATCAAAAAAGAAGTTTTTCACTGAACTAAAAGTTTTTTAAAAGATTTTTAAACATTTATTTAAAGCACAGCAGTACACAGGAAAAAATACTCCTTTTCAGCACCAGGACTGCCATGAAGTCAGCCATGCTGTGAGCTAGTCTGTGTGTGTGTGTGTATGTTGTGTACAGTGTTAACCTCTGGTGACTCCCTAGACAGGAAAGAAAATGCATAGCAAAGGCTGGAATATCTGTGACTTTGTTTTTTGTTCCTAAGGCTGCTGTCTGCCGAGGTTGTCAGTGTTAATGTGGCAGCAGCTAAGAATGTCACTCGACCACCAGCTATTGTGTTGGACATGAGGCAAAAGACAGCGCTGTTTATGCTGAAAGATATGCTAGTTTAATCTATGTAGTACGTGACAAAAGAAAACTTCTAAAGAAAGTCACAACTGTCACGTCTAATACGACCTGTGACCCTTTTCTTTCTACAGGAGGGTCTGTGTACGACAGAGACAGCCCTGGCCATGAACCGCTACATCGGCTCAGCCATGCTCCCCCTCCTCACCCGCTGCGCCCCTCTCTTTGCGGGCACCGAGCACTACGCCAGCCTCATCGACTCCACTCTTCACACCATCTACCGCCTTTCCAAGGGCCGGTCCCTCACCAAGGCCCAGAGAGATGCCATAGAGGAGTGTCTGCTGTCTGTCTGCAAGTGAGGAGCATGGGGAAAAACTCCCCATTAGCAGAGTTAAAAGTTTCTCTAGCCAGTGATAATGCGTCAAACAGCTGTGGTATCTCACCTGGCAGGAATAGCAAACAATCAACAGTGCATTTTATCAGCTTTCTTGCAAAATTCTACTGTAGGTCAGAGCCTGGTGTCCTTAAATACCCCTCTAAGACAGTGTGACAAAAGTGGTCCGAGCCTGAAGACGTCACGGTTAAAAGCAGCCCTGGGTAGCAGCGCTCTTATCTCTCTCACCTTATTCTGCAGACACCTTCGTCCCTCCATGCTGCAGCAGCTCCTGCGCCGCCTTGTCTTTGATGTGCCCTTGCTGACTGAATACTGCAAGATGCCTCTCAGGGTGGGCAACAATTCCCTCACTTTTTCTTACCTTTTTTAAATCCCATTTGCCATCCCTTATCTTGCCTTTATCTCATATTCCTTGTTGTGGTGCCTGCATGACTCACTTTTTTGTTCTTCCCTGTCTGCCTCATTATCAGTTGCTTTTCCTTTTTCTTTTCTACATAACTTAACCTTTGTTTTGTCTGTGTGGTCGCTGCTTGGACCTCAGTTTATTAGATTGTCAGCTTGGTGGGGAGCTAACAGCAGCTTATTTCCACCGACTGTAGTGCAGGTGTACCTTCAATGTAATATTACTGGTGTTCACCTCTCTCTCTTTCTCTCAGAGACACACGCACACACACAAACTCTCTCTCACAGGTGCACAGTTGTAGCACACCCGTGGTGTTGATCAAAACAAGGGGATGAAGTATTGGACTATGTGATTACAGGCTTGTTGGCTCCACTGCTCCATTCCATCCGTCTGGCCACAGGAGAGAAATACTGGAGTTGTAATAGATTGTGACTGGCCTGTGAAATGGTGGACACACTTGTTCTTGATTTTCATGTACACGTGTGGATCTCATTTGTGCTGAGTGTGGGAGAACAGACTTCCTTTGAGGTGCTGTTTAATATGCATGCATGCCCTAGTAAGTCTTAGTAACTAAATTTTATTTATATAGCACTTTTCCAGAACAGACATCACCAAGTTCTTCTCAAATAACAAATAAAAACAAAACAAGAAAAAGTGCCAGTGTGTTGTTAGAACATACACAGGCTGCATGCTTGTTGCCTGGTACTGAAAACACGCATACCTGTCCCGTCCACTAAATTTTGTATTTTTTATCACTCACTGTGTCTTGCTGTTTGCCCTCTGTGTGTCCTTCAGCTGCTAACCAACCACTATGAGCAGAACTGGAAGTTCTACTGCCTCCCGTCGGGCTGGGGCAGCTACGGCACAGCATCTGAGGATGAACTACTGCTCACCAAGAAAATCTTCTGGGGAGTGTTTGATTCTCTGTCCCAGAGGGTGAGGAGTCGCTCGAGTTGCACAAAGTTTTTTATCTTATCTTCTTTGCACCTTTGTTGTCTTCATCATTCCCAGAGCAATAGGCATTAACACATATCTACTTGTTGTTAGAAACATTTTCTAAGAGAATACCACTAATGCTCTGCAGAGGTTGATAAACAGTTGGCTTGAATGATATCCAAAATGTAATATCTCGATACAGTCTTGCCCAAATATTTGAATATATATGATATTATATATATACATTTTCAGTTTTATTTTATAATATATAATTATATTATGGTATTTTATATTTCAGGTATAAGCAATGCTGCCACTAAACATCAGTTCAAAGCTTTATTTGTCATATGCTAAAGTACAATGTACAGTAGAGAAAGCAGTGAAATGAGGGTCGGACTCAGCAACAGGGCAGACTATGCAAAACTGGAAAAAAAAGATTATATTTATATTATATTTTAAAATTATGAAAAATATTGCATATTGCAAGAAATATCACGATATTCGATATTATCAAATATCAGTCAGAGCCCAGTGAACCTTAAATAAAAGTCACCTAATTTGTCAATGTCTTGATTAACATGCATGTACTCAAAGAAGTCATTGGCACAAAAATCTTGAGGTGTGTTTCGTGATGCCGATGGCTGGACTCAGCACATCTCTCTAAATGCACACTGATGAAAGGAGGCTGTGCAAAGGGCCAGCCGGAAAACGTCAATATCTGGACAGCCATCATTGATCCAAAGCCTCTAGCACACAGATTTTTCAGCTTTTAGAGTAATTCTTTATTAACGTCCCTTCCACTGGCCCCTGTTACTCTCAGACTAGAGTGGCTGTGTAGCTTTATTTAACTCCTAGCTTAAATGAACAACTTACACATTACTTGTGTTTGTTAAATAAAAACACTATTCGCAGAAGCGTACTATAACAAAACTTCAGGAAATAAATTGTGCATTTAACTCTTCTTTCTTTCCTCATGCAGAAATATGATGCAGAGCTATTCAAGATGGCCATGCCTTGCCTCAGTGCTATAGCTGGAGCTTTGCCACCTGACTATGTGGACGCCTCTATTAGTACCGCTGTGGAAAAGCCTGTTTCTGTAGATGCTCAGGGCAACTTTGACCCAAAACCCATCAATACTGCTAAGTAAGCCATGTTGGAGTCAGATGTCAATGAGATAATTATGTGCAGCTTACTTATTGTATCATACCTGTGATGAAATACACAGTACATGACTGTACATGACTCCAGTATCATGCATTTGCATACGCTGACACACTGTCTCACTCTTTCCCCAGCATTGCCCTCCCAGAGAAGCTTGAGCACTTTGCCAACAAATATGCCGAACATTCCCATGAGAAATGGTCTGCAGAGAAGGTAAGGCCAAAGATAAGAGTCTTCACCTGGGAAAATGGGTATTAAATGGTGCAGTATTAGAGTTGGAGCAAGTCATGAGTGTCATAAGAAAAAGAGAGGACAGTAAAAATGTCTCGCCTTGAAGAAATACAGCACACACCGTAATCTGCTGAAAAGCATTTTCGCTGCATGAAAGTGAAAACAATCAATTCAGATCAATATGTTGATATTGTTCTTTTTTTCCATTATCATAGCACTGTTCCATTTGATGATGCCTCCTTTTTGTTATAATTGAAAGAGATACTCTGGGCATGCTGACAACAATTGTGCTAGCCTCTGTGTAGAAGGCCCCTGCTCTCCTTTGTGCCAACTGCTTATCCTGCTTTGTTGCGTCTGTCAAAAAAAAATTCACAAGAGCTGAGAACAGCAAGAACTGAATGTACCACGACTCCTTAATGTGTTATGCGTAATTAATCTCTTACCCAGTCTTTCAAATAATAAATCATGTCCTTGGGGACTCTGAAGGCAATGAGGATTGCTTTCACTCTCGTCCATTCCTCTGTGCTTGTGCCTCAGGTGCTGCTGGGATGGAAATACGGAGACTGTGTGGATGAGAAGGCCAAGACTCACCCTCAGCTCAGGACCTACAAAGCCCTAACAGAGAAGGTGCAGTATGTCGAATGTGAGATTTGTGAAGGGATAACCTAAAGATTTGAGCTTCTGGGCTTAGTCCTCGTTCCCCATTTCTGTCTCCGTGCTTCAGGAGAAGGAGATTTACAGATGGCCAATAAGAGAGTCCCTGAAGAGCATGCTGGCAATGGGGTGGAGCATCGATAGGACCAAGGATGGAGAGAGCATGTCTCAACAGAGGGAGAATGAGAAAATGAGAAAGATATCTCAGACCTCACAGGTACAGCACAAATAATATGTTTCAGACAAATACCAATATACCACCACGCCAGACATTTAATATTATGTTCTAAAATGCCATAAAAGGTCATAAAATCAAGTGTATTTCTCCTTAAAACTGCCCAGTATGATTCGATGATATACTCACTATCCAATATTTTTAGTGCTTGAAAACAAAATCTGAGTCTTTCATGAGACATTTTTGTCTCTTTTGCCAACCTCTTAAACAAGCAGGTTTATTCATTTATAAAATATCATAATTTAGGATATTAGGGATTAAAAACTGGATTTAACACAATCAATGATCTAAAAGTGGATATTGTGTACATGATTAAATTATCAATGTTTAGGTTGCTTTGGTCAGCTTTTCATTCAAAGATCTTCCTCTTGAAGTGGCAGAAGCTGGATGTTTCAACCAATTAATTACTACACTGCTGTTAACTACGAACCACAACAGTTTGTTCCTTAGTTCTAGCTATTTCTACTTTTAAGCTATTTACTGTTAGCTAACCTCAACTAAATCAACTATTTATCCCTTACATTTAGCTAACTGTTGCAACTGTTTATTTGGTTTTAGCTAATGTGAACTATTTCAACTGTTTATCTATTACTAGTTTAACTTCTCTGCTAACTAGCTTATAACTAAGGTAGGTTAGTTTTCATAGCAACATGTGGTGTTATGTGTTACAACTGACTCAGTATGATAGATAGGTTACTGGCCATTGTAAATATAAGTAAGTTCACCATGACACCATTTTGGCTGTTTGTTTTCCTCCTTAACACAAATGTGTAACATATCATCATTTCAATTTTTAGTTGTGCTTGGAAATTGCTGCTATCAGTTTGTATTTTCTTTCCTTTACGACATTACTTCTTGTCAGCAGTTACTATATACAGTTTTAAACATGCACATCAGACAGTTATTTACTGAGGAAAGTTGATTTTGTTGCTAATCTCTTTACACTTGGTTTGACTGAAGGCCTAAAGACACAATAATCCTTTAACAAATGTCATTAAAGTAGAAATCTTGTGTTAACTAGCAACAACACAGAGTATCTCACTGTAAATCTGCATCTTCTTCAACATTTCCAGGCAAATGGGTTCAATCCGAGCCCGATAGATATGAGCAACGTGGTTCTATCCAGGGAGCTGCAGGTGAGTGACCCCACAGTTGTTCTGTTGTACTTTTTTTTCTGTTTTTTTTTTTTTTTCTTTTTTTTTTTACATCAAATGATCTCTCCGTCTGAATACGAGATGGAGAGCAATATATCCTGAATCTGGATGAGTAATGTGGGCGGGACGCATTCCTCGCTGAGATGTACTGTTTGTCTCTTTTGTCTTTGGTCTAAGGGGATGGTGGAGGTGGTGGCGGAAAATTACCATAACATCTGGGCCAAGAAGAAAAAAAGTGACCTTGGAAGCAGAGGTGATTTGCTAATTAAGTCAATCATAGACAATCATAGAGAGGAAGAGACTGTGTGTGTTTGTGGGTGGGTGGGTGGATGTGAAGTGCCACCCCGTTGTTGCAGTGTATATACGAGCCTGTTTAGCATATGTGTGTGTCCACATTGCTGGTCTTGAATTAATAGGTTCAGCTCAGTGGTCCATCCACTCCATTTCACCATCTGCCTTCACACATACACTCACTAGAGACCTGTGACTGATCAAGTCTTCCTGAACGCTGTGTTGTATTGTGTTTTCAGGGGGGGGAACACACCCACTGCTGGTTCCCTACGACACGCTGACAGCCAAGGAGAAGGCCCGTGATCGAGAGAAGGCCCAGGACCTTTTTCGCTTCCTGCAAATCAATGGCTACAGCATCACAAGGTCAACACACACACACACACACACACACACACACACACACATACACGCTGTCACTGAATATGTTATTATGTTTATTTGTTGCAGAAACTTCACTCGACCTCCTAACTTTGCCATTTAATAGATGTCGGTGTCAGTGGTCAGTCTTTTATCAAATGATATACGTGTTATAAATGTTATTTACAGTCAATATCTTACTGTGCTGCAGAGGTTTGAAGGACTTGGAGCAGGATTCTTCTTCCATGGAGAAGAGGTTTGCCTATAAGTTTCTCAAGAAGCTGCTCAAGTATGTGGACTCAGCTCAGGAGTTCATCACCCACCTGGGTATGATATATTACATAAGTCATGACTACAAAACACATACATGTAGTTGTGTTGTTTCTCAATATTAAACATACATTCATGTTTTCAATCCAGAGGCCATGGCCGCCAGTGGAAAAACAGACCGGTCCCCTCATGAGCAAGAAATCAAGTTTTTCGCCAAAGTAAGGATGTAATACAAATTCATCTGCTGCACACATATAATTAACTTTTTAAACATTATTACCATCAACCTAATTTGGTCTTATCATTATCATTGTCCTCCTTTCAGGTTCTTCTCCCTCTCATCGACCAGTACTTCAAGAACCACTCTCTCTACTTCCTCTCCTCCCCCAACAAGAACCTGAGCAGCAGCGGTTACGCCTCCAACAAGGAGAAGGAGATGGTCACCAGGTACCCATTCACGAAATGACACGCAGCAACAGCAGCATGACAATAAAATCTTTACCACTCTTGACTTAAAATCTTAATCTTTAACATTCTTCATTCCTAATCTCTCTCTCTGAGAATTTACTCATTGTGGTTTTTTCTGGTTTCCTCCCCTTTTCTAACCTTCACTGCTCCAGCCTGTTTTGTAAACTGGCAGCTCTTGTCAGACATAGGATTTCACTCTTTGGTAAGCTGATTACTACTGATTGGTCAGGAATGTACTATTATGTGTGTGAATGTGAATGTCATTTTATCGTGTCTGAAGTTTTTTCATATGTACGAACAACAAACATTAGATATTTTGATACCTGAGCATTTTTTCTGTAAAACTGTAAAACCCCTTTAACAACAGCAGCCTGAGCCACTGAAATGATGATTGATTATTTGATTTTTTTTTCTAATCAAACCCTCAACATAACTATTTGACTGAGGGTTATAAGTAGCAATGAAGTCAGCGCCGCCATGAAAGGCTCAGTTCAGATCAAGAAAGTCCTTAACAGTGGGTGACAGTATGTAGGTTCACATTACACTGATTGCTTTTGTGTTTCGTGGTGTGTTGTAGGGAGTGACTCCACCACCATGGTGAGCTGTCTGCACATCCTGGCGCACACTCTGGACACCAGGTGGGTGCAAATTTGGCAGACAAGGAACCTGGCAACCTTTTGAGTTTTTTTTTTTTTTTTTTTTTACTTGAAATGAAAAGTTTAAAAAAAAAAAAAAGAAAGAGCTGTTTGATAATGACTGTTAATTGTTGGAGAAGCCAGTTATGCTTTCCCAGTGTAAAGCTACGACTTAGAATCTGTTGGGTTCTCAAGAGCAGCATATTTGTCATGAACTTCTTCCTTTAGACTGTTATTACTCCAGTGTCTTATGGGAGGCGCTGGCATTAACAAAGAGCATCCTCTGGCATTTGAATAAGCAAAACAAATTTCATGCGGCACATGTTGCCCAAGGCTTATGGTGTTCTTTAGAGACAATGTACTGTTTGTTAATGCAGCTCACACCTAATGAGGCTAAATCAGCAACATATTATTGTGTCTTGTTTGTGCGGGAGAGCTGCAGCTGATGCCCACAGACTCTGTCTTTCATTTCTCCCTCCTACTGGGACACATCAAGGCAGAACAATGGCTAATTCATCCAGCAATGTTATGAACTGTGAAATGCTGAAAATGGCCAGACTAATCATATTAATGCGTTGGGCTATTTCAGCGTGTCATACAGTATTTCTAGGCTCCAGTGTTGGCAAACTCACTTTTTAAATATGCACCTAGTTCGTTAAATAAATCATTGCTGTTGCGGTGTAAGGGCGGTCAGGTTGATACCCACGTCTCATATTTCATGACTGAAACCTTCACAGACTGAGCGAGTGAAGTAATTGCATATGTGAGCGTGTCCTACTGTTGGTAAACAGCGTTGTCCTTTGCATACCAAGGGGTATCCAGTGGTTTATTATAGCCCCGTCCTTGCATATCTCCTCATTTGGTTTCAGTCGTTTATCATGCTCTCTTTCACTCCCAACAGGACGGTGATGAAGTCGGGCTCAGAGATGGTGCGGGTGGGGCTGCGGACGTTCTTCGAGAACGCCGCAGAGGACCTGGAGAAGACGTTCGAGAACCTGAAGCTGGGGAAGTTCACTCACTCCCGCTCGCAGATGAAAGGGGTGTCGCAGAATATCAACTACACCACTGTAGCTCTGCTCCCCATCTTAACCGCTCTGTTTGAACACATCACTCAGCACCACTTTGGAGTCGACCTGCTGCGTGAGTCCCGACCGCCGAGGAATGATCAAACATGTTGTTTGAAAGGCTGATAAAAAAAAACTAGAGTCAAGTGTCAATGTTCAGTTTATTATAATGCGGTGATTATATGCTTTCTACATCCCGACGCCATGGAACATCATGTCATTATGTCACACACTTATTTACACAAATGTACATCACAGGATCCGCTTATAAGTATACATTAGCATAATAGTGAGGGATTTCCACAATGCTAAGTTAATATCCATTCAGCCTATTTATTTAACTTGTGCTGTATTGTATTTTACAATATTGTGTTAGAGGAAAACCTGCATGACAATATTAGGTAACTAAAACACGTATCTGCTTCATCAGTTACCATGTTAGCACTGGGAATTGGGTATCTATGTTTTTTAAAACATTTTTTATTGCTTTAAAACTTATTTTTAATACATCGTGGTGGTTTTGGTAGTACACAATAAAGCTTAGGTTTTTTGCTTTTTTTTTGCAGTGGATGATGTCCAAGTGTCCTGCTATCGAATCCTGACCAGCCTCTATGCACTGGGCACTGGAAAAAACATCTACGTAGAAAGGTATCCTCGCTTCAACATTAATATGTTCATTCTGATTCATTAAAACCTCAGTGAAGACACCCACTGATGTTCTAGCACAGCCCTCACCAACTCTCTCCCTCTCTGTGTCCCTCAGACAGCTGCCAGCTCTGGGCCAGTGTCTGGCCACCCTTGCCGGGGCCATGCCTGTGGCCTTCTTGGAGCCATTGCTCAACACGTACAACCCCTGCTCGGTTTTTAATACCAAGAGTGCCCGAGAACGAGCCAGTGAGTCATATGTAATTATTCTGAAATAAGAGTTCATATTAAGAAGTGGTCCAAGATGGCAAATCAAACAGTTATTATTATGGAGAATGAATATTTCTCTCTTCACCCTGTCTTTGCTTTAGTGCTATTCAGTCTGCAAAAGATTCATCCCCTTCGTAAAATCATAAAATATGTAATAAGAAACATAAACTTTGATGACACAAACATTGTTGTAATGTCATAAAAACTCTCTGTGGTGTTTTCAGTCCTCGGCATACCAGACTCAGTGGAGGAGGTGTGTCCCGGGATGCCGCGGCTGGATGGCCTGATGAAGGACATCAATGACATGGCTGAGTCTGGAGCGCGGTACACAGAGATGCCGCACGTTATAGAGGTGGTGTTGCCTATGCTGTGCAACTATCTGTCCTACTGGTGGGAGAGGGGGCCTGAGAACCAGCCAGCCAGCGGGGGCAGCGTCTGCTGCACCACCGTCACCTCAGAGCACCTCAGCCTCATTCTTGGCAACATCCTCAAGATCCTCAACAACAACCTGGGCATCGATGAGGCGTCCTGGATGAAGAGGATTGCAGGTGGGCACTGATTCCTATAACAGCTCATGATCATAAGGAAGAATGAATGTGGTGGAGAATTCATTTCCTGTGGCCACAACAGTTTTAAATCAACACCACACCCTGCCTCGTTTCCTCACTGTATCTAAAAGATACAATCTTTTTCATGTTTGTATTTTTCAAAATTTTTTATAGTTGTGCCATCTCGCAGGAGTCCTGCGTGAACCAAGGTCAGCCTGTATTGGCAGATGAGGGCTATCACTGCTCATGCTGATGACCCTGTTTTCTTTTATTTATAATGTTGCTGCACTAGAAATGTTATATGCACCAGAAAACACAAGCAAAAGAGCTGCATCTTTCAGTTAAAAACTTTAGTTTTAACAAAATAAAAAATAGCAAATATAAAAGCTTACATGGTTGAATTGCTAATGTGGTATACTGTTGTCTAGAAAAAGCTGAAAAGTAGGCACTCTTGAAAATATTACTGAAATACTGGCAACTTTCTGATACACCGACAGATTTTTAAACATAATTGAACAGCTGTAATAGAGTGACTTTCTCTCTCTCTTTCACTCTTCAGTGTACGTGCAACCCATTATCAGCAAGGCTCGCGCTGACCTGCTGAAGAGCCACTTCCTGCCCACGCTGGAGAAGCTAAAGAAGAAGACAGTGAAGGTGGTGGCTGAGGAGGAGCTGTTGAAGGCGGACAGTAAGGGAGACACCCAGGAGGCCGAGCTGCTCATCCTGGACGAGTTTGCTGTACTCTGCAGGGACCTGTACGCCTTTTACCCCATGCTTATCCGCTACGTGGACAACAACAGGTCAGCTTGCTGAGTTGCAGAGGATGAAATTCTTTTAAAAGGTCTATTTTGGGGAAGATGGGGAAGATAGTTATTGTTTGCAGAAAAAGTGTAAAGGATGTATGAATCTCTTCCCGTCGCTGCAGGTCCAGGTGGCTGAAAGAACCAGATGCTGACTCCAATGATCTCTTCAGAATGGTCGCTGAGATTTTTATCCTCTGGTGCAAGTCACATGTTAGTTCCCTCATCTCCAATTCATACATATTAAACTACAAAAAACAATTAGACTTCTGATCCACCACAGTTACAGCGTCTGTCTTTGCCATTTGTCTTTCTTCAGAATTTCAAACGAGAGGAACAGAACTTTGTGGTTCAAAATGAAATTAACAACCTTTCCTTCTTGACTGGAGATAATAAAACCAAGATGTCTAAGGTAGGTTTAATGTCTTCACATTACGTCGCACCACTGTCGACTTTATTTCCTTATTATGAAGCTTTTGCAGAGCTGCATCAGGCAGCAGATTATCACCTTTGTAGAGATACATGATACGTGTTAACATTTCCTCTCCCATGTTAACACATTGATTTTTGCGTACATGTGCTAATATGTTAACATGTAAAACGCCCATCTCAGAGGAGCTACGTATACACACACACGTGACAAACAAGACTATTTTATTGAAGCAGCGTGACTATAATAGAATGGATTTTGACTTTTTTTTTTTTTTTTGCTTTTGGCTCTGTGTGCGTGTGTGTGTGTGTGTGTGTGTGTGTGTGTGTGTGTGTGTGTGTGTGTGTGTGTGTGTGTGTGTGTGTGTGCGTGCGTGTGCGCTTGTGTGCGTGTGCGTACATGCATGTTTGTAACAAACCTTCCTCCAGCTTCACCTTCAGCCCCTGTCAGCATAACAGCGTTACTACTTCTTTTCTTGTCTGCCTGGTTTAACTGTTTGAAAGGCAAACAAATGGTTTTCATTGCAGTGCACGTCCATGTGAGGACCGTGAGCCTCCATTAATTGCCCTCTCATTCCTTCTTTTCTATCTTCCTCTCTCTCTCTCTCTCTCTCTATCTCTATCTCTCTATCTCAAACAGTCCTCTAAGGAAGAGGTAGAGTGATGCAGTGCATGAGCTGTTTACCTGCCAGCTTATTGGCTTATATGCTCCAGTTACTAAGCAGAAAAGCCAATAGCTTGTGCCGCTGTGCTGTACAGTATTCTATAGTGTACTTATATATTATATCACCTGATTATTTGTGGCATCTATTCATCACCATGTGTGGCATGGTAACTTTGGTCATTCCTCATCGCCTCAGGGGCGGAAAACATCTCATTTGGAGTAATGAAGCTCAGCCCTTTTGTAGCAAATCATGTGATCACATGCCAGCAGTGTGTTTGCCGTTGATGGATTGTGGTACCCTGGTGTGTTTGGCCAATAGTTACCTCAAGCTAATTATATTATGTTGTAGTTGATGTGTGATAAGGCCGTGTGTGTGTGCGTGTGTGTCGCAGTGTCTACATATATATTAATATGGAAATTAGTGTTTTCACTGAGGCAGCTACTTCAGTTTGGCTCAAAAGTGCATTTTTTTTTCTTCCTCAGTGGTAACATCTCGCTGTTGTAGCAGAGGCAGCCTGCTAGTTCTGCTTTTCAGCTGAGGTGTGAGACTTCTTAATGCTTCAGTGGCACAGATTTAGTCTGGTCACAGATTTTGCCTGGGTTGAAAAATAAATGCCTCAGGAGCCTCTGGCTTTTGTTCAAATACAGTGTGAGTGCTCCCACTGTGAAATAAAATACTCTTAAGGTATCAGTTTAAACATTGAGAAGACACGCATTAGTGCAACATTAATCTCAGCAAAAACAGAAAAAACTGATGTATTACCTTAAAACACCAGCTTATTAAACCTTTATAGCTTTTTTTTATTCACCATTGTGAGTTGTTTGAGGTTAATATCACAATTTCTTTTTTCAGTCTGGAGGACAAGACCAGGAGAGGAAACACAAGAAAAGGCGTGGTGAGTTCTACTCCATCCAGACCTCACTGATTGTGGCCGCTCTGAAGAAGATGCTGCCGATTGGCCTCAACATGTGTACGCCAGGAGATCAGGAGCTCATATCTCTATCCAAGACTCGCTACCTCCTGGTGAGACAACTTTAATGTGACCTTGAACTGGCCACACTGACACATGTAACCAGCTGTATATCAAAATGAGAAAGCTCTACATTTGTGTCGGTTATTGCAAATTGTTTTATTTTGCGTCCTGTTGTTCAACAGAAAGACACAGATGATGAGGTCAAAGATCACATTCGGCAGAATCTGCATCTTAGAGAAAAGGTGAGCAAGTTTACACCAGTATTTCAGTAAGTGTTTACCAGCTTCCATAGTCTATAGGCTGGTATTTGACAATCCCTCTTTGTCACACACTCCCAGTCAGAGGACCCTGCAGTGAGGTGGCAGCTAAACCTGTACAAGGACATAGTGATGAGGAGCGAGTGGCCTCCAGACCCTGACAGGGTGGTGGACCGTATCCAGAGGATCTCTGCTGCTGTCTTCAACCTGGAGCAGGTCAGACTTAGACATTTATAGATTCCTAAGCACATTATGAGCAGCAAATGAAACTCAGGGTGCTATTTTAATGAAACATTTATGCATCATTCAGAGCGTACTGAAAGACTCATCGTGAATGTGAAGGAACATGATCACCACACATACAGAATGACTCACCGAAATACAAAACACTAGTGCTGATGAAAATGCCCGTTTTCAGTTCCCAGCAGTGATTTTTCTTTTCTTTTTTTTTTTTTTAATCACTGGTTTGCCTGGTAGAGAATGACACCCAGTGCACTGATTTATACTTCTTCTTCTTCTTTTGCTCCCAATAGGTGGAGCAGCCACTGAGATCCAAAAAATGTGTTTGGCAGAAGTTACTGTCCAAGCAGAGGAAGAGAGCGGTTGTTGCCTGCTTCCGCATGGCTCCACTCTATAATCTACCCAGGTATAACTGTATATCCTTACATCTAGTGTTTACACATCACCTCTTCTTTTTAAGGTCTCTAATGATGCTAAACAGCCTCATAATCATGAATCCAGGATGACACTTTATGTTTGACGGTAGCAGAGGGCTCCCTGCGGTACTTCTAGCAGATGTGAAATTGTGTAGCAAGGCGCTGTGGCATCACCTCTATGTTCGCTGGCCAAATACCAACCACGCGCTCTTCTTCTTGTGTCCGACTCACGACTCTCACTTCTCTCTTCCTTGGTTCTGACCCCTTGCATTAATGCACTGCCTTCCTCTCGCCGTTTGTAGGACGAATGTCTGGCCCGCAGCTGTTATCAAGGAGTAGAAAAATAAATAAAAGGGACACTAGCAATTTCATGCCCTGCTGCTCTGTAACTCAATCACTGGAAGCCAGGCAGAGAGCTACAGTAGGGTGGAAAACAATTATGAAGCCCAACCTGGGGGTGGTCATCTTCAGTATGTGCTCAGACGATGCCGCCCGCCTGCCTGACAGCATGACTCATTTATTCAGAGTTGTTGACAGTGAAATATGACCCAGCGTAGCTACTAATTATCAGACAGTATTTACAATGCAGCCACAATTGATTGTTTTTATTTGGAGCAGTAGATTTGTGTTTGAGGGACGGATGTGAAGCTTCCGGGTGATGTCGACTCCTCCTGAGTTTTCATGCATTCAGATGTCATCTTTTCTCTTTTGTCTCTCTATTCAGCCTTTTGTTCTCTCCTCAGTGTCACACTCTATTGTACCTCATCCCCTCAGGCACACAAATAATAATTACTTCCTGAATGCCTACCGACATATTTGGCTGGAGATTATGCATGAGAACGCAGACTATGACAGTCTGCTCTCCATGCTGACGGTAACGTAGTGCTGATCCAATGTTACTACTGTTTGACCTCGCATACCTCTCTTTAACTTCTGCTTGCTTTCCTCCAGGCACGGTTTTATGCTACAAAATTTAACTCCCATTCAGATATTTTTGCTGGTATTTCCACTGGTCCATATCTGTACAGTAATGCATCAAGCTGAATGTAGAACGATTGCTCTAAAGGAATAGTTTGACAGTCTGCCAGTTTACTTTCTCGCCCAGAGTTAGATGAGAAGATCGATACATCCCTTGTGTCTTTACACTGAACATCAAGCTACAGCCAGGAGTCGATTAGCTTAGCTTAGCATAAGGAGTGGAAGCTGGGGGAAACAGCTAGCCTGGATTTGTCCTAAAAAAATCAGTATTTCCAAGGCTCACAAATGAACATGTTATATTATTATACTGTACAAAAACCAAAGTGTAAAAACAGTAAGTATTGGTTTATGTGCAGTGACTTTCAGACATGTCCTCACTGTGAGGTTGCCGGGCAAACAGTGCAGACTCCAGGAGCTGTTTCTCCTCTGCATACTAAGCTAAGCTAACTGTCTCCTGGCTCTAGCATACACACACGAGAGGGGTATTAATCTTCCCAAGAATGTGGATTAGCATATTTGCCAAAATGCAAAGCTACTCCTCTAACTGTTGCTGACGTGCAGATACATGGCTCCTTTATCCAGCCTTGGATTTCTGCTTCCTGCTGATGAGTTGGGGACTAGTTTGTTTTTAAAAATTAGTGAGTAGATTGACAGTGTGGCAGAGAGCAAATACATCACAGCTCTGTATGTATAATCAAAGTGATAGTTTCCTCTAACATGACCAGCTGGATGTGCCAGTGCCCTAAACTAACCAGTATTAACTCTCCTGAAGGGACTTTTCCCATCTGTTGCTATCTAACCCAGGCTAATCTCCTCTCACCCTTCCTTAGGCATCGCTCTATTAACCTCTTCCTCCTGGCCTATCAGAGAATATGGATAGAAACAGAGGAGTACTCTTTTGAGGAGAAGCTAGTGCAGGATCTTGCAGTAAGTACCCGTGTTATCCCCAGTGCCGTCTTCTTGGCTGGGGAGCTGAGCGGATGCCCCCACCACTCCCCCTTTACTCGTGTCATTGTCAAAATTGCCAATCCCACCGTGCACCACTGAGTCATACTCAGTCATCCATACAGTGTTTTTCACATGTTCGTCAGATGCCCATTTTTGGCAAGCATGACATCACCGCTGATGTCAGAGCCAGCTCTGAGAGCAGTAAGAGAGCATCTGGTCACGATGCTTTGACTTACGGATGAAATTTATGAAAGTTGTGCAGCCTTTCCTAAATTTTCAGTCATGAAATGTCACAATCATGTCTTGAATTAGTTGTAGTGAAAGCAGAAGAAATACAGCACGTACCATAGCTGCTTCCTGTTTATTTTACACTTTGTAGCCCATGAGAATCTATGATTTACTGTACATAGATTGGTTCACAATGCTTACAGACTTTAAGAAATAAAGTTGAATTCAGATTGAAATCTCATCTAAAATAAGAGGCTATCATGAAGGCTCGTTGGAATGCGACAAACCCTACTGTGCCAGTGGGTGTTTTTTTTTCTTTTTGTTTTTTTTGGTTTTTTTTTTGCAATAAAGAAATGACCATAAAATTTGAATTAATACAACTTTTGAAAATCTAATCTTCCTTTAGCCCTTTTAATAGTCATGTCTTTGTCACATTATTTGAAATTAGAGCCACGGGGCGTCACAAAAGAAGTTAATGGTGTAACAGATGAAGAACTTTATGATCCAGCCATCCAAACACACATTTGAAGTAAACCCCCCCCCCCCCAAGAAAAATTGTTCCAATGTGTCTGATATCATGAGTTGTCTGCTCCGGGATAAAATGACAGGAAATCTATGATAGAGAATAAACCTAGAGAGTCACCCTCTGTATGCATGTGTGTGCACGTGCCTGCGACTGTGTCCGTGCATGTGCATGCTGTCAGTGGATCCAAACACTGTCTTTTTTTTTATTCTGACACAACCTGACTCTCTTAAGGTAAGCAGTGTACAGTTAGGTGACTACTGTTTGTACACAGTGTTACAGCACAGATTTCTCACTTCAGTGGCTTATATCATTGCTGTTGAGAGCACATGCCTAAGCTCCGGTGTTGTGCGGCTTTGTCCAGAAGACGCAGCCCAAAGTGGAGGAAGAGGAGGAGGAGGAGGTCAGAAAACAACCGGACCCGCTTCACCAGCTCATTCTGCATTTCAGCCACAACGCTCTGACTGAGTGCAGGTAAATAAACACTCACTGTTACACACCTGGCCTCCTGGCACCAGCACGCTTTACTCCCATCTGTGCTACATAATAGTTTTGGCTTGCCTCTGAGCTAATAAAGAGCTGCATTAAGCTAAATTATTGCCATATATTTTATGCTAAGAGAGAAACACAGCATTTTTTTTGCTGCTTACTATGCATACATTGCAGTGGCTATAAATACAATCACTTCCACTTGCTTCTTATTTAAAGATGAAATGTGACTGTGAGCTATGTAAGGTTTAACCTCTGGATATTCATCTTCCTTTTTTTTGTTAGTTCTTTGGAAGAGGATCCCCTGTACATCGCATATGCAGATATGATGGCAAAAGTATTACACTCTCTAAATTGCTTTTTACCAAGATGCTCAGTGTTCAGCAGATTGTTGCAGGTTTGATGTTGTTTGCTCTTTCAGAGTTGTGCTGAAGGTGAAGAAGAGGAAGACGAGGAAGGGAAAGAGAAAACATTTGAGGTGCTATTGATTTCTCGGGAATATTGTCCTGCTTTTTTTGGTTTTTGAATCACATTCAGCAGTGGTGCCAACTGTATTATCATTTCCTGCAGGAAAAGGAAATGGAGAAGCAAAAGATGCTGTATCAGCAAGCCAGGCTTCATGACCGAGGGGCTGCAGAGATGGTGCTCCAGATGATCAGCGCCAGCAAAGGCAGGAGAACACACACCCGTATGTCTGCCTTCCCACGGCCGCCTTCTTTGGTCTAACTGTGGTGTCTGATTTATGATTGTCAGGTCGACTCGCTGCTATGGTGACATTCACCCTCAAACTGGGTATCTCCATTCTGAACGGGGGAAACACACTGGTCCAGCAGGTACGCAGCCGTCTTCATTCAGAAAATGTACAGTGAGCAGCATCAACACTTTATTCATTGTTCTTCTGTTTTAATGCAGAAAATGCTGGACTATCTGAAGGAGAAAAGAGATGTTGGCTTTTTCAAAAGTTTATCTGGACTGATGATGTCCTGCAGGTAATGGAGCCATTAACCCATCAACCCACACTAAAGAGTAGAGGTCAAAATATCGCTGACATGTTCTGACCATTATATTTTCTCCTGTGAGTTCTGCAGTTTGGTGGAAGTGCTGGGGCACCTCTTAAAAACACAAACTGCTGAAAAGCAGAATATAGAAATAAACATATCATAGTTCAGTCTTTGTCTTTCATCTCCGTCAGTGTCCTGGACTTGAACGCGTTTGAAAGGCAAAACAAAGCTGAAGGTCTGGGGATGGTTACTGAAGAGGGATCAAGTAAGTGAGGATAATTAACACGGTAAACAGTCTGAGACTATCTGTCCCAATTGTTGATTTACCAACAATATGCGTGATTGATTTGTCCTCTACCAGGAGACTTTTAATCATGCTGATACAAAGAGCAATACACAGTGTATCTGTGGAGCCGAATGGAAAAAAAAAACCTACAAGTCAATATCTGCGCATTAGTATCATTTTACAGAACGCCTTGCCTTAGACAGAACCTCAATACTGAGTGTCTGACAATGAAACAGAGCTTATGATCTTTTCCCTGAGCCACAGCCACTCAGTGTTACAGCATGGGGTCCAAACCTCCGCTGCTTTCTGTACTTCGCCATACTTGTACGGCGTCTCCGAGTAGACCGTGTAGAGCTCTTGCTGTGACATGGTGCGTCTCGTTCAGGTTCATGGCGTTAATGTTCTTTAGTCAGGCTTGTAATTGGCCTCAGGACAAATGGCGCAGCATTAGCTTGATGAAACATTTGCTCTTTGATTTGTTGACATACACGAGCCCATCTCCATGTCATGTCTTGTCTCTTGTGTGTCACCTTGTGCGTCATCGTCACGCAGGTAAACCTGTGTTACTGTATGTTTAAGTCCTGTCTGGGCCTTGTCTGCCACTTAAAAGCTCACACTCACAACCGCATCTGCATTAAAGTCCACTTATAATCAGAGGTCTCTATTTAATAATCCGATGGGTTGCATACAGTACAAAAATATATTTTTCTCATGCATATTCCAACTCATTCTCACCTCATAAGCTCAGGCATAAGTGATGGTAACTGTTAGTCTGGTACTCTGTCTAACCTGTAGTCTAAACACCTGCCCAGTGAGCAGACTTCCCTTTAAGACTTTGTTTAATTGTAACCGCATGTCAATGTCGCAAATCAGTGTGAGTATGTAAATATATATCTATAGCGCTATCACTCTCTCCTGTTCCTACTCCTTCTGATTGAATCTCAATGTCTTCTCCTTTGCTTATGTCTGCTTTTGTTTTGTTTGTTTGTTTGTTTCCTTCTGATCATGTTTTTAATCTCATCGGTCGCAGTCAACGTGAGTGAGCGGGGTAAATACATGGTTTAGATTCTACTCATTCTATGCAATGCTGACATCTTGATTGCTCTCCGTTCAGCTCCTTCCTCCCTCTCCTCATTCCCTCCTAACCCCGACCTCCCTCCCTCCTCTTCCTCCTTCCTCCTCCTCCTCCCACTCCTCCCACTCCTCCTCCTCCCTTGCCCTGAATGCAAAACAACCACCTTCTTTGTACCTTGGACTGAAGGAACGCATGCATGCTCCTATGACATCTGGATAGATTGTTCAGTCCATGGTCAGGTGCCTCAAACTGACTCAAACCTCTCCACTTCTTCTTTTATAAAAAGTCAGTGCTTGTCATTTGTGTGGGACCTTTTATGTTTCTTAATTTTAACGATACTAACCAGCGTGTATTAAGAAATAAATATCCCAAAGCTTTGTTTGTAAGAAACAACAAAGCTTTGCTGGTGTTAAACGACAAAGCTCAGTTTCATTCCTGTTCTAAACCTTATTTTCATTTGTGAAATGATGCACTATACCTTGTTTGTGTGTTCTGAGCTCTCAGTATAGTGCATATAATTTGCTGCTGTTTGACAACTAGACAGCAGCTTTATGAGAAGTGAAAGCTATGCAAGCTCCGATGCCTGTACTGACATTAAAATGATGGGTCTCTGACCTTTGTCAACACTGAAAGAGACACTTAATCTCATTTCCTGTCCTCAGGTTCCAAGGTACTGCAGAATGATGAATTCACTAAGGATCTCTTTAGGTTCCTGCAGCTTCTCTGTGAGGGCCACAACAATGGTAGGTGGACGCTTCTCAGTACAGCAGTTACCCTAAGCTGCATTGTGTCTCTGAACAACACAGGTGTGAATGTGCTCCTCTGCAACCAACTATTGTTTTAGATTTTCAGAACTTCTTGAGGACTCAAACAGGGAACACAACTACGGTCAACATCATCATTAGTACTGTAGACTACCTACTAAGACTCCAGGTATGATATTAAAGATTTATAGAAATATATATTCATATATTCATTGATCTTCTTTAACGTGTCAAACATATACATTTTTCTTCTATCAGGAATCCATCAGTGATTTTTACTGGTACTACTCTGGTAAGGACATCATTGATGAGGCCGGTCAAAGGAACTTCTCCAAAGCACTGGCAGTGGCCAAGCAGGTCTTCAACTCTTTAACTGAGTATATACAGGTACGATCTCGCAGTGCACTGCAACACGACAACACGAGAACTGATTCAAATCTTAACTACAGTATATGAATAATAAACTTCAATGTGCAAACTTTGCCGTTTGCTCCAGGGTCCATGCATTGGGAATCAGCAGAGTCTGGCTCACAGCAGGCTGTGGGATGCTGTGGTGGGATTCCTGCATGTTTTTGCCAACATGCAGATGAAGTTATCCCAGGTATCTACTGTTTGCCTACATTTAAAGCAATGGAGTTGCTGTGTGTTTCTTCAGTGGTGGATAGTAATTAAATATCTTTTCTTTTCTCAATTACTGTTTTTTTTAGGTACTTTACTTTAGTATTTAATGTTTCTTACCAGTTTATACTTCTTCTTCACTATATTAATATAGGGAAATATTATTATAGTATTTACTACTACCTGCCTGAATAGTTGGTATTTACTTCACAGATTTTCCAAACAAAACATGTAATCATCCGATATAATATGAAGCAATATAACAGATTGAAGTTCCCAACAGTATAAAACATTTGCGTCACTTTACTTGGAGATGTCTGTTGCCAAGTGGTTACGACATATTCTATATAAATGCTTTAATATTTTAATTCCATTTTATACATTTATGCTTCAGGTATAATAATGCAGTCATATAAAACATTTATAATAAGAATGAACATTCTGAAAGAGGCCATTTTGCATGATGAGCTCTTATACCTGATAAAGATGTACATATTCCTGACAGTACTTCTGCACTGTACTTGTTCAGTCAAAAATGTTTATGTGAATGTAGTGCTACTTTTACTAAAAGCAACAATCAGAATACTTCACCCACCACTGGTATTTGTCTTTGTCAGCCTGAGTCTCCCTTAAAATATCTGTTGCCACTAGAGGTCTCTCCAGGCTAGAGAATAACCCGAGGCTACTGCAGCACAATTACATATGATTCCACTCAGCCATATGATATATGAGTTCATCTACGATATTTCCTCCATGTCCAATAAGGGAGGAGTGGGATGAAATCCAACCACCTAACCTTATCTTGGTCTGACAGTAGAAACCAGGATGAAGGAGAGCGCAGGTGGAGGGGTCTGAATTGAATGCATCAGATTTATGGTATGCTAAATACAGGCTCTATAGAGACCCTAAATGAGTCAGACTGACCATGCCATCTGCTCCTAGACAGTGAAATAGCATTAACCCTGGTGCTGATGGATGGATTTCTCCTACAATGGCCTTCTGGGCACCAGCAGCGCCATTTTGGGTCCCCACAATCTGAAGCAGCCTTGATCTCTGCGAATGCGGCTCGGGGATATTAGCCAGGGCGGCGGTGCCCTTAAAGGGAGGCCATCAGTAATCTGTGTGATATAGTGTTGTGTGATTCACAAGGTTTCCTCTTTTCTGTCATCTCCTAACAGGACTCCAGTCAGATTGAATTACTGAAGGAGCTGCTGGACCTACAGAAGGACATGATCGTTATGATGCTCTCTCTTCTCGAAGGTTGACTTTTTGATGACTCACTGGCGCCATATGACGCCTGTACCAGCAGGATTAATTACAAGGATGTTTTATGACTTTCATTAAACATTTGTTTGCTTGGGATGTAATCAGATATTTACAGCAGCAGCTTTGCCTAATCTGTATGCAGACTGTTGTTCGTCTTTACTGACACTTTGTTGTTGACACTTCACAGGTAATGTTGTCAATGGCACCATTGGCAAACAAATGGTGGACACTTTGGTGGAATCTTCAAGCAACGTGGAGATGATCCTAAAATTCTTTGACATGTTCCTCAAGTTGAAGGATTTAACGACCTCAGACAGCTTCAGGGAATATGACTCTGAGAGCAAAGGGATCATTTCGAAGAAGGATTTCCAGAAGTCCATGGAGAACCAGAAACAGTACTCCCAGTCTGAGATTGAGTTTCTTCTCTCTTGTGCTGAGGCGGATGAGAACGACATGTTCAACTACGAGCAGTTTGTGGAGAGATTCCACGAACCCGCCAAGGACATCGGCTTTAACGTAGCCGTGCTGCTAACCAATCTCTCCGAGCATATGCCCCATGATGCTCGCCTCTCAACCTTCCTCGACCTGGCTGAGAGCGTTCTCAGCTACTTTGAGCCCTTTTTGGGTCGTATTGAGATCATGGGTGGAGCCAAGCGCATCGAGAGAGTCTACTTCGAGATCAGCGAGTCGAGTCGTACCCAGTGGGAAAAGCCTCAGGTGAAGGAGTCGAAGCGGCAGTTCATCTTCGATGTTGTCAATGAAGGCGGAGAGAGCGAGAAGATGGAACTGTTTGTCAACTTCTGTGAGGACACCATCTTTGAGATGCAGCTGGCTTCCCAAATTTCAGAGCCAGACCCGGTGGAGCGCCCGGAGGAGGAGGAAGACGACAACCAGAGTGTGGTGGAGAACCAGGAGGAGGCAGAGGAGGAAAGCATGATGTTGGAGTCTTCCTCTGCTTTCACAATCGCCTGCGTCTCATTGAGAAAAAGCCTGTGCCACTTCCGCCAGATGCTGACTCTCAAGAGCATGAGGCGGCAGTACAGGAAGTTCAGGAAGATGAGTGTGAAGGAGATGGTGCGAGGTTTCTTCTCTTTCTTCTGGGTGATCATCACGGGACTCTTCCACTTCGTCTACAGCCTCATTTGGGGTTTCTTCCACATCTTGTGGACCACTATGTTTGGCGGCGGCCTCGTTGAAGGGGCTAAAAATATGAAAGTGACAGATATTTTGGGAAACATGCCAGATCCCACTCAGTTTGGCATCCATGGAGATGTGTTGGAGACGGAGAAGTTGGAGGCGAGCGAAGCGTCGGCGTTGGCAGAGATGGGTCAGATGGCTCAGGGGGAAGCAGCAGAGGCAGACCTGATGGCTGAGTTGCTGAACATACAGCCCAAGAAGGAGGGAAAGCACGCGGCAGAGCCTGGTTTGGGGGATGTGTCTGAGGTGGTGGTGGGGGACGCTCCGTCTATTGCCAGTGCCGTCAAGCAGAAGAAGGCACAGGTCAGTAATGATGATGAATGATGTTAAATCAAATGGAATGATGATGGCTCCATTCCTAATCACGCCTTAACTAATAGACACTACAACATCAGTATAGACCATTTGCACAAAGCCCATTTGTTATTATAACAGTACAACCTGTAAAAGTAATTGATGGTCAAACAATGCGTTTGTTACAGCTGGCTGCGAAGAAGAGGGCTGCGAATGGAGACTACAAATCTGATTCAGAGAAAGGAGAGTGAGTGTTGTTCATTTGTTCATTGTTCATCCTCAGTGGAGTTGATATAATTCTTTATCATTAGACATTTTCTGATGGCACTGAGCATATCATCGTGTTTTGCTGTCTGCAATACCAGTGTCAGAAAATTTAAGTATGAAGAATGTCAGTAAGTAAGAGTAGACTCTCTAAACTAACTATCTATACCTTTTAACTTCTGCAGTTTAATTCTATTCATATGTCACACGTATGTAAGTGTGTGTGTGTGTGAGTGTGTGTGTGTGTGTATCTACGACCTTGCAGTGGTAGTATAAGTGTGTCACTAAAAGACAATTTATTGTTGCAGTTCAGAAGACGGTGAGAAGAAGGACCACGACAAGGCCAAAGACGAAGCCCCTCCAGAGCACGCGGCGGAGGAGAAAAAAGCCCCGAAGAAGAGGCTCGGCCAGAAGAAAGAACCGCCAGAGGCGTTCATGGCCAGCTTCTTCGCCGGCCTGGAAGTCTACCAGACTAAGATGCTGGTCAGATATTTAGTATTTGATGTATTAGCTTAAGCATGTTAAGAGAGCATAAATAAGTTGCGTATATACTGTACAACTTCTATATTTTCACAGAACTACCTGGCCAGAAACTTTTACAACCTCCGCTTTCTGGCACTTTTCGTTGCCTTTGCCATCAACTTCATTCTGCTCTTCTACAAGGTAAGCTTGTAGTAATACTCTGTATATAATGATTACAGATTGTTGTAGGTGCTTTGATGACCAGTTGATGACCTGTCTTTCAGGTAACCGGGGATTACTCGGACGATGAAGACCCCTGGAATGGTCGAGGTAGAGCTGGGGAGGAGGAAGATGAAGGGGCGCTTGAGTACTTCGTCCTGCAGGAGAGCACAGGCTACATGGCGCCAACGCTTCGCTGTCTGGCGATACTACACACTATCATATCTTTCCTGTGTGTAGTGGGATACTATTACCTGAAGGTGCAGTAACACCCACTGACAAATAAAACATCAAGTTATGCTTTAAATTTAGTATTGGAGCAAAAAAAATAGGAATGTGTAAATTTACTGTATTTGACCTGTTTTCCAAGATTTTTTATTTTTTTATTTTTTTATTTTTGAAACATCTCAATAATGCTTTATAGCACTTGGTTTTATTTTTAACAAGTACAGTTCTGTATTTGTGATCAATACATACACAGTCCTGTACTATATGCAGCATATTGTGATACAACTGTACATTATATCCTTCACTGGCCGAATTCTGTGTGTGTCAAAGGTGCCACTGGTGGTGTTTAAACGTGAGAAGGAGATAGCGAGGAAGTTAGAGTTTGCCGGTCTCTACATCACTGAGCAGCCATCTGATGATGACATCAAAGGACAGTGGGACAGACTGGTCATCAATACCCCGTGAGTCACCTACAGTGCAGTTATTAAATTCTGAGTCATAATCTTGTATAAACAAAGGTTTAATGATCATTTGTTTTTTGTTTTTTTAATCAGTTCTTTCCCAAACAACTACTGGGATAAATTTGTCAAACGCAAGGTAAGTGGCTTTTAATTAATTTTTGTGTAATCTGTTATGCACACAAAGCATACACCAAATCTGGTGATATTTCACTAGATGTTAGTTACACTGTCATCCTCTCCTCTGTTTCTGTTTCTGCTGCTGTTTTGTAGGTGATCAAAAAATATGGAGACCTGTATGGAGCGGAGAGGATAGCGGAGCTGCTGGGCCTGGATAAGAGTGCCCTGGATTTCAACCCTACAGAGGAAACTGTCGCCAAGGAGGCTTCATTGGTGTCATGGTGAGAGATTGGACTGATAAAGCGCAGACAGCCTGGAAGTGCCTGAAGCAAAAATAGAGGTCGGATAGAAAATATGAACCTCTCTTATCAACCTGTCTCTGTTGCCAGGTTGAGCTCAATCGATACAAAGTACCACGTCTGGAAAATGGGAGTGGTGTTTACAGACAATGTAAGTTTGAACACAAGCGCGGGTGATTAATCGCTCTGTTTTGTGGTTTTAAGGATGGCTGGGTGCATGATTTGATGGATGGATGGTCGCACGAGCTGATTGATGATGTTATGACTGGACAGATGGATTCTGATACATTTCCCATTGTGTTTCTTTACCAGTCTTTCCTGTACCTAGTGTGGTACACCACCATGTCCATTCTGGGCCACTACAACAACTTCTTCTTCGCCGCCCATCTGCTGGACATCGCCATGGGCTTCAAGACCCTCCGCACCATCCTCTCCTCTGTCACACACAACGGCAAACAGGTGAGGAGGATGAGGAGGAGAGTGCAGGTCTTCTTCTTGGCAGCAGGGGTCACTGCAGAGTTAGTGGTTGAGGTTGGGCTGTAACCACCGCCTCTTTATTCCCTGATGTGCAACCACAAGCCAGTTTTACCACAGCACCACATGTTCCGACCCCACTGATGGCATCTTCGGGTAATACTAGTGCCAACCAAGCCTTGATATGCTTTTAGCTTTTACGAGTAGTTATAGATAACATTTTAGCAAACTGTCACCTATTTACACATTGGCCAGATACAGAACGACATTCACATCCTATTGGATATGTGTGTGCACCAACTCCTGGGAAAACTCTGTGTGTCTCCGCTTTCTCTACACTGTTGGCAGGTATCATACAACTGGCTTGTGTGACCGTCTGTGCAACATGTCAAATGGATAATGGATGTTAAAAAGATGCGTGGTTGTCATCTAGTAAATACTGCATGTGCTGCGTCGATCCCCGCGTCTTTGCCAGTGGAGATGCATGTGAAGGAATCGACGATGCGTACAGTGAACAAAAGGGGACTTTAGATTCACTCAGTATTCTTTGACATTTGAGTTCAAATGGTTCAAATGCTTCATTTAAATCCCACTTCAGTTCTTTGCAGCGATTCTCATGTCAACTGACCAGAGGCACAAATCAAAATTTAATGTCACTTGAATCTCCGAGGGTGGAAATACATCCAAATGGCGAGGCCGCAAGGAATCGCCTCCCACACCTCCCACACTCAGCTGCCTGTGGGCAGATCAATGGAGCTGTCAATCCAAATGCAGCTTACTGCTGCTTCCACTGTTGTTGCTGTTTAGGTTCACGAGAAAATCAATGTGGGAGCTGTTGCAGATGTAAAAGAAAAGGATACAGTTTACCATTATTTATTATAAATAACTGAACTTTCCCATCATCCGCTCATTTGAACTTTTCCCTCCTCACAACCTGCTCTTCTCTCGCCACCGGCAATCCCGACGTGTTCCTCATGAGAGTTTTGCCGCTTTTTATAGGGGCAGCTCTGCCTCTGCTGTGTCCAGTGTGTCTCTTCATAAAGTTTAAATGAGACTCGACTGACTGATGTCTGTGTTTTTCTCCGTAGCTGGTGCTGACGGTCGGCCTGCTGGCAGTCGTGGTCTATCTCTACACTGTGGTGGCCTTCAACTTCTTCAGGAAGTTCTACAACAAGAGCGAGGATGAGGATGAGCCGGACATGAAGTGTGATGACATGATGACGGTAAATATTAGTCACATATTCAAGTGCTTGTGGCTTATATTCATCCTCAAACTGAGGTTTTTTCCTGACCCTCCCTCTGTGTTTGCACAGTGCTACTTATTCCACATGTACGTTGGGGTGAGAGCAGGAGGGGGCATCGGGGATGAGATCGAGGACCCGGCTGGTGACCCGTATGAACTCTACCGCATCCTTTTTGACATTACCTTCTTCTTCTTTGTCATCGTCATCCTCCTGGCCATCATCCAGGGTGAGCCCAGGCACTTTTTTAGTGCTGTTTCTACAAAACAAAGGTCCTTCTCGGATTACTTGATTTTTTTAAACTTTAAGATATATGAATATTTAAATCTAATCTCTTTGAAATACTCACTCATATCACAGTAGTATATCTCTATTACACTCCGTGCCATATTCTTAGGAAGTGAGGGGTGTAAGACTGTGGCTGCATTGATTACACAGTTACTGTACATTATATATGATACGCTCACGGCAGTTCCTTTGTGGTTGCAGGTTTGATCATTGATGCCTTTGGAGAGCTGAGAGACCAGCAGGAACAAGTCAAAGAGGACATGGAGGTGAGAGGAGATCTCATGCTCACCTATACTTGCCAACCTATGGAGTACTGAAGGGGTTACCAGAGGAAGCAGGGGTGTGAAGAGGGGTGGGGGTGGGGGGTGGGGTCTTCTCCTCTGAAGGAAATATTGTCTTATGGTGACCTTTTATGCATACAACTAAAAAATACAGCACACACAATCGTGTTATTTTGCCCAAAGATATTAAACAAAACTGCCATCATATACCTATCATATCACATTATACAAGTTCATTTGTATATGCAAAGGTGACCGAACCCACCATATATGTATATAACAATGAGAAAGGAAAGGAATTGTTACATATTTTTCAGGAATATCATATGCAGTCTTTCATATTTTACAGAAAACATACCCCTTAACTTTAACCCTGTTTGAAAAGTAAATTCCTTTCCTTCCCGGGCATCTTGGGTTTAGACATGTGATTTACTTTTGTTTTGTGAGCTCTCGAGCTCTCTTCAGAGTCTTTTAAGCAACAGCCCTTCAGTCCAAATGAAGGTCAGAGTGCAGTGTTGGCCAGTTTTTTGAGATTTCAGTGACAGGGGAAAATAAATATTTAGTTTAAAATATGAAGTGAAAGACGTCTAATTTTGGAGAAATAAATAAACGAAAGGAATGTAAAGTTATGATGCTCCTGGGAAAAAAACAGGAGAGGAGGCAAGTGTGCTGCTCTCACTTAGCCTAGATAACCCTGATGACATCATAAGGGTGATTTTCTCAGACATTAGAAAGCTCAGGAGACATTACACAACGGTTCACATGCTTAGTAATACTGATCATTACTAGTCTTACTGAGCTTTATGTGTAAAATACAGTGGAGCGGCCCTTTGAAAATGATACAGGACTCTCTGTTGATTATTATATCTCATACACTGAAGTGCCGGAAGAAAAACAAAAGATAGCATGTGCTATAATCATCTCTTAATTTTCTGTCCTCCAGACCAAATGTTTCATTTGCGGGATCGGTAATGATTACTTCGACACAACACCTCACGGCTTTGAGACCCACACCTTACAAGAGCACAATTTGGCCAACTACCTGTAAGTATCTCACTTTAAATCATTTTACATAACCTTTAACTACAAATATATTAATCACTGACGCATCTTTCCCAAACATGTCTTGCCTCCTCTCTGTAATTTAACCATCTGATCGATGGCTTCAGCACATTACCACAGCATTAGGGCCAAAGTTACTAATAGCTGCAGTGATCCAGAACACTACATCCCTTCAGGTACTCTTTCCATCTGTCTCAGAGTTTCCCCTGCTGTCTCTGCTTATCCAGTGTTTCTCTAGAATGCCTGTGACAATAGAAAGTCTCAGTCCATTTGCGCTCACAGTCAGCTGGCCAGAGGATATGAGAGCGACCTCATTATGTTGCTTCATTACTATTTAATGCCATGAACTTTACTGGAAAATAGGTTTGTGATAGCGTGCTCTCATACAGTATTCATCAAGATTTGGCATGCTGGGATGCCCACAGAGATACAGCGGCCCGTTGCCATTTGCACTTGATTTCGGAAACAACAGGTGATTTTATGATGCAGATGGGATGGTGTTACTTTGTTTAGATTCAGAATTTATGAGGCCTCCTTGTATCACAGAATGTGACATTTCCTGTGCATATGGAGTTGTAGATATAAAATGTGCCTCAGTAAAGCTTTTCCCTCCATTCTGTGTTTTAACTGTGATAAGATGGAGAGTGTGATAAGACGGTGAGAATGTGAAAGCTTGCTGTGACATTTTTGTTCTGTCTCATTGGTTTGCGTTTCTTCTAAAGGTTTTTCTTGATGTACCTTATCAACAAGGATGAGACAGAGCACACTGGCCAGGTACAGTACAATGACCTTTCTCTGAGGAATCTTCAACCAATCACAAACAATTATTATGCTGTCAGTTATACTGACCGATATTGTGGTTTAATTTAAATCTTCAATGTTTTCTTTTAGTTAATCTACAGGTCTGTATTTGTGGGTCTGCACAGTGTTAAATAGGATATGTGAAATAATGCAGTAACTTGCTCTTTAGTCCTTGACATTACTATAATATACAAATATATTCATGACTTTTAAAAGTGCCATTGTATTTATTGATGACAATTGCATAGCTATGGTAAGAATGACAAACAGCTGGTAAGACACATTTAGCACAGTTTTGATGTCACACTGATGACATCTGATGTTGACAGCTTTGCTTTGTAGCTGCACTAGCTAACGTTTGCTGGATAGACTGACAGGACGAGCTGTCTCAAAGCCCTGAATCCTGAAGTCTCAATTCAGAGCTTAAAACAACAATATGAAGTGTTAAAAAGTTCACCACTACTCACCAGTCAATTGCTGAGCTACCTGCTAGATACATGTTTGAAATCAATGTTAAAAAAAAAAAAAATCTTGCCACACTGTTCGACTTATATCAGGAGCAAAAACACTGCATCAAAAAATAGGTACATAGTAATGTTTCCTCTTCTGCTAAACCATCTTTGACCAACTTTCTTTTTTTTTTGTCTTGCCACCTCCCAAATTAACATTAATTAACCACAGCTAATTAAACTTGACATAAACTTGTCTATCATGACAGTTGTCATTATATTATCATACACAGTATTTCCACCAGCTTAAACTTTCACATCCTGCAGCTTGTTAAGACACTTTTAATTATGTAAATTATAATTAAACTTGGGACTCTTTCAATTTGAAAATTACACTTTCAAATTACAATTTGGATATAAATTTGTGCAGCCCCGGTCCCTTCGTTTTGTATGCATGAGTTTATGTCCTAAAGTTTAATAACTTTTTTTGAGTAACACTGGTGTTTGTGTGTGTGTGTGTGTGTGTGTGTGTGTGTGTGTGTGTGTGTGTGTGTGTGTGTGTGTGTGTGTGTGTGTGTGTGTGTGTGTGTGTGTCCAGGAGTCATATGTGTGGAAGATGTACCAGGAGCGATGCTGGGATTTCTTCCCAGCTGGAGATTGCTTCCGCAAACAGTATGAAGATCAGCTTGGATAGAGCAGATGCATCCTCTTTACCTCTATTGATATGAAGTGGGCTGCTGGAATACGTAGTCCCACGTGCAGCTGCTGGACTACAACACCACACAGTCATCCCACCAATGCTTTGGACTAGCCTGAGGAGAGACAAAGCAAAACTACTACTTTTTATCCAAAATAAGGAAACATCTCCTACCCATGTCAGATGTACCTTTGTCACCGTTGGTACAGTCTGTACCCGTATGTGAGGAAATGACCTGTAACTCGCCCAGACATTTTGATTTTTTTTTTTAGTTTTAGGACTCGTTTTTTGACAGCGTGTTGCCTTTTACTCCACATAACCCCAAATCATTGCACAATTTTTTTTGTCTTTTTGAGAAACACTGGGTTGTGTGGGGTTATGGGACAATGTGTCGGTCACATTATGCACAAGAACCCAACTTCAATATTTTGAGAATGTTGAACTTGAGACTTAATGCCAAAAGAAAAGCAGAGAAGTTCAGTAGATAAATGTAGTGTGCAAAAATGTGATATGGAAAAGTTTTTTTTTCAGATGTTGTAACCTTGCATATTGAGATGAAGTTTTAGAATGAAATGGCAAAAGGTTTATTATGTAGGATTAAAAAAAATGCCTAAATTTTTTCATGAAGTGCCTTACTGTACTGTATCTACATTACAATGAAGCTATGCAAAACTTTTGTTTTTTCTTTATTGTATGTAAGTACAGTCATTTTCCTGGAGCAGTAACAAGTAGCTGTCCAGATATGTAGTTTGTGGCTGAGATTTTTCATTTGAAGATGGAAGAACAGCATTGGTTTGATTTATTTTTTTGCTGAATGCAGAATAACTGCAAACGTTCAAGGTACGAAGTGTATAAATGACACGTCAGAATTTAGCGAAACACCTTCAAACAAGAACAAAAATTAAATTGCTATTGTATGGCCATTTGTATGTAGTAGCTTTGCTGATCTGTGCATTTCTTTTGATGGAAAAAATAAAGAAATCAATGCAAGAAATGTTAATATTTATGCTGTTCCTTGGGATCTGTATTTCATATTCCAGATATACTATATACTATACACTGAAATATTTCCTCAACCTGTTCACTTTTTTGTAATGTAACATAACAAGGTAGTCGAAGTCTAAAAGCACTGAGAAATTGAGTAATTTCAGTCCCTAAATCAGAAAGATGCAACGTTTATCTGTGGCTCATTGAAATCTTTTCAAAATAAGATACCTACTGTGTATAAATAGCCTTGGGCTTTAGTTTTAAGTTAATTTGACTTACCCAAAACCTCAACGCTATACCATAACTGTGACCTTCCTGCAGCTTTTAATTACAGTGTGGTAAGAAGCAGTGGCTGAGATTTGAACTTCTAGCTGGTCAAAGAGGTGGGACATGGCCACAGCAGGCTGCATGATGGGAGTTTTAGTCCTATTACCCATGGTGCCACCTGTCAGCTCGCATCATGTCACCACACCTCAGGCACCACACAGTGCTGCAGCCTGCTGCTGAGAGCAACTCTGCCTCCTCAACTCCTCAACTTACGCCTGTAGCAGCTCTGGCATGTTGACTTGTTTTTATGGTCCTGAGTGAAATTACTTTTTTAAAATGAAAAAGTGACTCATTGTCATTATTCCTCCACACAGTGACTGCATGTTTAAAAAGCCACATTTATCATTAATTGCTTTAAAAAGCTCTGACTGTCATTGTTAAGTAAATATTCCGTAAATATTGTTTTGCATGTACTGGGTAAAGCGAAGGCAATATCAGAGGAAACTTAATTTAAAGTTTCAGGTATAATATTCTTTTCTCTAACAAATGGGCTCCTGTATTATTTGGCATATTATGTGGCCATTATGGCAACAGCAGGAAACAATAATGTGTGAAATCACTGATATGATCATTCTCAGTAATTTGACATAATTAAACTTGTGGTACCCGCTCTCAACATGAAATAGCAACAATTAAGCCATCAAATAACTGCAGACATACAGTATTATGCCTATTAAATTCAAATTTCTATTGTTAGGTTTGGTGACAGCAAAATGAAGTTAGGCCTTTAATTTTCATCTCAAATGGCTTGTTGAGGGAATTCATGCTAATGCATAATCATGATTTGGGAAATATTAGAAATATATATTTTTTGCTTTGAAGTATCATGGTTACATTCTATAACAAACCAAATACGTTAATATTATGCACAAAGAGGCAACACATAATTTGGTAATGTGGAATTTATCCTGTGTGGGCACGCTATAGGGGGTAACCAAAGGTAAGTTTTATCCATTTTATCCATTTTGCTCACAAATTTTGAAAAATACTGTATGTCTGCTTTTTCTTCAAGAGAATTAGTTGAGAAAATGGATACAACTTTCATGGGTGTCCAATAAATAATCCGCTAGAGCCAGGAGGTGGTTAGGTGTTGGAAGGTTTTTCATTTTTACCTTTGGACAGAACCAGGCTAGCTGTTTCACCCTGTTGCTAACGTAGCATCAGTGCGTCACGGCTCTACATAACTTTGTATATAACAGACGAATATAAAGGTGGTATCAATTTTCTCATCTAACTTTGCAAATTTTCAAATTGTCAAACTATATGTTTTTGTTTATTTATTTTATTTTCATATCAACAACTTTTATTTAACAGTGAAAAAAATGTTTTCCAATCGATCAAAACCTGAACAGAGTATAAACTCCCCAGAGAACTGGCATGTGTTAAGGTACCTTTAAACAGTTACTCCATTATGTTACCTGTTCAGAGAGAAAACGGGACAAGGTAAGGAGAAGGGTCATTTAGCGGGCAGGTTGTTGCTAACGGCTCTTCACACATCCGGTGTTCTCAAGTGACTAGAGCTCCAACATAGAGCCCTGACAAAACAGAGCACATGGCCAGTGAATGACACAAACCCAGGGGACATTTTACACTTCATTCCACCACTGTCCTCTTCAGATGGAAGACCTGACAGCTATGACTAAAACTTCAACTAACTATTTTTTTGTTTTGGTAAACATATGGTTTAAAATGACTATTGGACTGAAATTGGAGGAGGGCTAATTTGGTGATATTGGCCCCCTATCTGTGTTATATTCAGTATCCAATATTTTTTGTGCAATCTCACAACAAATGCCAAATGATTTGCGTTGCTGTAATGTCTGACCTCTGTTTCCCCTCACTCTATGACTCCCGCACATGACCGATTGCTGATGCAATGCTGCTGAAAGTTGGATCCGGTCTGTCATCCCGGGCCCTGCATGGTGCACTGTGCTGTGGAGTGACAGATAAATCTGGAGAAGAAAGAGAGCAGCTTGAGTCACAGTCCGTGCTATCACCTGCAAGCTGGCGACCTGCAGAGAATCTCCAACTGGTGACAAGACACTGCATATGGTGCCATTGATGCATCTTGTCAGTGTTTGAACCATTTGTGCAACATCACACGACAAACAACGCCTTAATAGCTGAGCCAGGTGTGTCGAGAGAAGAGGGGCTAATAAAGCAGGCTTAATCGCTTCTGATGGCACCATTAATGGACAACTAAATTTCACTTTGTCCTGTAGCTTTGTAAGAAAGCATGCCACCTGCCTTCAACGGGCAGTTTAATTGTCACTGAAATTGATGACCTGCTCCTGTGTCATTTCAGAAATATAGTGTGTCGTCTGCATGAATTGATTGCATAATGGTTTCAATTAGCTCTCTAGAAAGCATGAAAGAAAATACAGAGCTTGAAAACAGTATTGTGACAAAACAGTGCCAACTCAAGGTCAACTTGCTCTTTCCAGTGCTTTCAACCATATCACACATCAGTAGATAGTTTTCTCAGTTGTCATGGAGATGGTTCCGTTGATATGTGAGTAGCATTATAATTTTACGCCGAGATCTTCTCTGTGTTGCGTTGAGGCTTATTACTATACAGCTGAGAAACAAAAAAAAAGGCTTTGTGTTGCATGTTCTGCATTGTTCAACTCAGTATTTACTGCTGTGGAGCTCCTGGCTGCGGAGTACTAAGCAACACCACTTTACCTACAATGTTAATGTTGCTAGCAGTAGATCATGACTTTTAAGAGACTCAAACAGTGTTTTTGTAATAAACCAGACAGCTTCCTTTGCATGCTGTTATTTTGCCAAGGTAGTTTTTTTCTTCATTTGGTGTAGATTTTTTTCAGAGGCTGCAAATTACAAACAGTTACTGCTCATTTAGGACATTGTCTTTTAAGATCCCTTGTGTTTGGAAGGTACAGATACCTCAAAGTAGACAAGTGTTTACTGATTCAGCATTATGCCAGAAGTACAGTGCACACAGGGGGCTGAATCAGAGCGATGGAAACAGCAACACAAAGCTGAAATTTACTCTAAAGCACGATAAGCACTTGTGCATTAAATAGGAAAGCAGTTTTACCTCAAAATGTTAAAAATTAGTGTGTGGCTGTTTGTGTGTGTGTGTGTGTGTGTGTGTGTGTGTGTGTGCGCACGTGTGTGTGTGTGTGTGTGAATGCAGGAGCTAAAGCAAAACCCTCTGTCCTCAGTTCACACACTGCAGTACTGGCATCCACATCTTTGACAGATGTGTTCCTCCCTGAAGCACACTCTACATCAATAACGTTTATGTGCGATTTTAAGTGTGTGTGTGTGTGTGTGTGTGTGTGTGTGTGTGCCTGTGTGTGTGAGACAGAGAGACAGAGTAAGACGGATGGAGATTGAGAACAAAGGCAAAAAGTGAGCTAGCAGTGAGTGGATTTAAAAAGAGAGTTAAAGGATGAAACCCTTAAAGTTGAATTTCGTGACCTCTTTTTTAATTCTCGCAGACTGTCGTGACATCTGCAAGTGAACTTAAGTTGTAAGGTATAAATGAAGTGAATTGGAGCCTCAGGGTAGCTTTAATAAGAAGTCAGTGTGAATGGGGTAAATCCTTTTACTGCATCTATTGGTGTCACTGACCCTTTTTGGTGAGTTTGGCACCGGGTCTAATGTGGCCTTTATTATGTGAGGACGGTTATGTGAGGACCACGTTTCTTTTCACAGCCCATTTGAATGACACACCATTTTCTTATCTTCAGCATCTAAGGCGTTCCTCTAGCTGTGAAACTATTGGACTGATAGATCTGGGTTGTTTAAACTGTCTGTTTTTCTAGGACACGCATGCTGGACTGAGGCACTTTGCAGTGTTTTGGTATATACTTCATGGGAGGGAATCCCTTCACTCTGTTGTCTCAGAGACAAAAGAGCTTCTTCTGTCAACTCCTATTTAATTCATCTTCCTAAGACAGAT